CTTTGATTCATCTGTGTCTTCAGCTTCCAACTGTGTCCCCGTGTTGCTGTGTCCAGTCTTTGGAACATCCTGTCTTTGTCCACCTTGTCAATTCCTCTCAGTATTTTGTAAGTCGTTATCATGTCCCCCCTATCTCTCCTGTCCTCCAGTGTCGTCAGGTTAATTTCCCTTAACCTCTCCTCATAGGACATACCTCTTAACTCTGGGACTAGTCTTATTGCAAACCTTTGCACTTTCTCTAGTTTCTTTACATGCTTGGCTAGGTGTGGGTTCCAAACTGGTGCCGCATACTCCAATATGGGCCTAACGTACACGGTTTGTACGGGTCCTGAATGATTCCTTATTAAGATGTCGGAATGCTGTTCCGAGGTTTGCCAGGCGCCCATATGCTGCGGCAGTTATTTGGTTGATGTGCGCTTCAGATGTGCCTGGTGTTATACTCACCCCAAGATCTTTTTCCTTCAGTGAGGTGTGTGTGTGGTGTGTGTGTGTGTGTGTGTGTGTGTGTGTGTGTGTGTGTGTGTGTGTGTGTGTGTGTGTGTGTGTGTGTGTGTGTGGGTGTGTGTGTGTGTACTCACCTATTTATACTCACCTATTTGTGGTTGCAGGGGTCGAGTCACAGCTCCTGGCCCCGCCTCTTTGCTGATTGCTACTAGGTCCTCTCTCTCCTGCCCCATGAGCTCTATCATACCTCGCCTTAAAACTATGTATGGTTCCTGCCTCCACTACATCACTTTCTAGGCTATTCCACGGCCTGACTACTCTATGACTGAAGAAATACTTCCTAACATCCCTTTGATTCATTGAGTCTTCAACTTCCAATTGTGACTCTTGTGTCTGTGTCCCTTCTCTGGAAACATCCCGTCTTTGTCCACCTTGTCTATTCCGTGCAGTATTTTATATGTCATTATCATGTCTCCCCTGACCCTCCTGTCCTCCAGTGTCGTCAGGCCGATTTCCCTCAACCTTTCTTCGTAGGATAATCCCCGTAGCTCTGGGACTAGTCTTCTTGCAAACCTTTGCCTTTCTGTGTGTGTGTGTGGTGTGTGGGTGTGTGTGTGTGTGTGTGTGTGTTGTGTGTGTGTTTGTGTGTGTGTGTGTGTGGTTTTGTGTGTGTGTGGGTGTATTATTATTATATATATATATATAATATATATATATTTTATATAAAATTTTTATATTATATATATTATATTATATTATATATATTTATATTAATAATATTTATTTTATATATATATATTAATATATATTTTTATATATATATATTTTTATATATATATGGGGGGGGTTTTCACAAAACTTCCCCCTTGGGGCTTATTTGGAAAAGATATTTTTCCAAAAAAAAGAAGATTTATTTTTTGCTATATTCAGTAATGTGTTCCCAAAAGGGTTTAAAGGGAGGAGAGTGATGGTCTGCACACCCCGTTCATCAGTTTTAATTTTGTATGGGACTGGAGAAAGAACCCAGCCCCTTTCAATGAAAGGGTTTTTGAAGTGGCACTGAGGGGACGAGTGAGGTGGGGAGAATAGAAAAAGTAGCTTAAGAAAAAGTAGTGGAGTACAACAACCCACCCCACCCCCACCATGACGACAAGTCAGCTCCCCTTCGGTGGCAGAGCGGCAGCAGCGCGTAGTGGATTTGGGCAGCACAGCAACGGCGGGGAGCATGTTACATCGTCAGATCGCTTCGCTGGTCTGAACCATCTGTCAACCAGAAGCTCTTCCTGGTGGTCAGCGTTGCCCTTGCCACAGTCTGCTTCTTCACCAACATTGTCCAGGTTAGACATGTTCTTTCTTCCCTAAATACACACACGCGCATGCATGCACTCACGTGCACACCACGTGCAACCACAATTAGGTGAGTACACATGTGCACACATGGCGATATTAAGCTCACAAACAGTTAAATGGAGAAGACCTGAGATTAACCACTACCTCAAAACAGTTTCCAGAGGAACAAATACAATATCATCAGCATCAAAGACTAAGATTACAAAAATAAGAGTAGCCTTCAGGAATCTGGACCAACCAATTCAAAACCATTTATACGTAAAACGTGGAAGCCATTCTTGAGAATGCAGTGTTGTTATTAATTAAATCCACACACAGGAGGCCTGGTCACAGACCGGGCCGCGGGGGCGTTGACCCCCGAAACTCTCTCCAGGTCTCCAGGTAAACACACACACCTAGTAAAACTTGAAACAGTACATAGGAGTGCATCAAGACAGGTAGGTGCCTGAGATGAGGGAATAAGCTATATACAAAGATTGCGCTAGATAAACCTTATATCACTGTTATAATTACAAAGTACAAATTAGTAACCACACCCAAACCCCCCCCACCAAAACACACACACACACACACACACAAACCCCCATCACACAAATCCCCCCACACACACAAACACCCACCGCTACAACCCCAACACACAAATCCCCAAACCCCCCACAACACACAACAACCCCCTACACCCCCCACAATACACAACCCCCCCTAAAACCCCCACACATACACACAGCCACACCCTACACCCCCACACACACAACCAAACCCTACAAACCCCCCCACACACCACACACACACACACACACTTGACATATATTTGAAAGTCAGACTTAAACCTACTAAACTGTCTCACAAATCATAAGAAAAACATCCTATACTTCCATTTTGACCCAAAACTGTGTCCACTTAATGTTTGAAAATTTTGAGATTCTCACTGAATTTTCTAAGCCATTGCTTCACCTGTACAGTACATGTTAAATAAAAATAATAATACTGATAGTAACAACTGCTGAATTTTCCCACTAAAACATCTAACTTCTTCCATCACCAATGATCAAGCTTAACATCCAGCATAGCTAATCTCTCCTGAACAACAAAGCTAATTCAGCTTTTCACAACAGCTAACCCATCCCTCTAATAAACCTCAGCTAATCCATGTCTTCCTTATAGCCAACTAAACACACAACCCTCAAGTTAGCTTTAAATATCCATTCTAGCTACCCATTCACCCCAGTGCTTCTTGTTTTTTTGTGTTTAATTTTAACCCGTAAATGGTCCAAGCAGATATACGTTCATATACGTAGTGCTCCAAAAGTAGATCTGGTTTTTTTACACATTTTCAAATGTAAAAAAAAAGATCTACTTTTTTTATATACTTTCAAATGTTGAAAAAACGTATATATACGTTTGGACCATTTACGGGTTAAATATGTGAGCCTATGTGGGCCTTTTGCTCATTAGGTTGAGTTATTGAACTCAGTGGTGGGAATTATCCGTTTAATTTATATCAGTTGTGATAACGTCACATCTACAAGAGCACGAGCTGTATGATACACAGTAAGCCGGTGTGTCCCTACTGCCTCTCAGATATTAAATGAGGAAAAACTGGCCTTTTGCAAGTCAGGTTGAGTTATTTCACTAGTGGGAATTACCAGTTTAATTTATATCAGTTGTGATAGTTTCACATTTAGAAGAGCATGGCATGAGCTGTATAGTAGGCTGGTGTTATGCAGGATACTGCAGTGTTGTAATAAATTTGTAATGTGGAGTGTTTGTAGTGTTAATGCTTAATTGGACGCAAATTGAACGATAGGTGGACAGCCTTCGCTGTCTGGCTATTAGTGTTAATGCTTAATTGGACGTGAATTGAACGACAGGTGGACAGCCTTCGCTGTCCGGCTATTATGCAGCCTTTGAAAACTAGCTGGTGTGCATGCTGCCTCTTAATTTCTTAGTGTTTGAGGGAAAAATTGGCTAATTTACCTCATTATGTTCTTCTTTTGTTCAGACACTTTGAGCGAGTTTTCTTCAGGTAGGGTCGCCCCAGCCTACTGCTGGTATTGCATGCATCACGGGAAAAATCACAGACACAAAACTTTGTCATATGGTCACTGACACCATTAGCTGTGTTGGTAGCATGACAATAAGCAACCACTGACACATGATACAAGACACTGTCCAATGACAGTTGTGCTATAACCACTGGCTTTATGATGGGCCATGACTGATTTATTATTAGCCTGCTGGTCATACTAAGTGGTTAGAATGCCTACAATGGATACAGTGTATGGCTACTTAAGCTTCCCTGCTGGAATATTGGTGAACATTTAATTTCATATTTTGTTAAGTTGGTTTTTCCCAGCTAACTCATTTAAAAACCTGAGATCCCTGATACCTTCATCACTGCTAACTTATTCCTTTATTACTACTAGTACTAGGTTCCTTCACCATAGCTAGCATGTTCCTCCACCACAAACTTAGAGTAATTAACCACAAGCAACCCCAAACAAACTAGTCTATCACTCAACCCTAATTAAACCCATAAATTACTGCAGCTAACCTGTTCCTCCATCAGTGCTAACCTATCCCAATACAGCAGTTAACCTGCTGTTCTACCACAGCTAACCCAAGGTTCCGTGTCTCGTGGGTGCAGGTGGCAGTGTTTGCACGCCCGTCGGCCATCCGCTGGGTGAAGAGTGTGTTGCTGCTGTCTCAGGCCCTCAGTGGGTTGGTGGCTGCCTTTGTTGTTGCCTTTCCTATACACGTCATCTCTGCCAGGGGGAGGTAAGCCACCTTCCTCTTCCTTTTGCTTCCCAACTCACAGCTACTTTCTCTCACTGTCAATCATTTATTTATAAGCATTAAATAATTTCCCACAAACCTCCCTAACACCCCCCCCCCATGCTACTAAAATTTAACAAACAGTGATATGTTTCTCCTTGGCACTAGCAAAGTTCTCTGCTATGTAGGACACTTGTTTAATTTAATGCTGAAGACAAATGTAAAATTCTGAGATTCTTAATAGAGCATTTTGAATTCTTAAAAGAGCATTTTGAAGTGCACGAACACTTGCACATGTCTGGACTTTGCCAATATGCAAGAATGTAATGTAATGTAATGTATTAACATATTTGAACAAGTGATGCTAGTAATCAGTCATGTATTTAATTCTTTATTTCAAACTACCTGTACATAAAAAACATAATCTGAAGGACCATGAGATGTATATGAAATCTGCACTCACATTATGAAATTTTCATTTCATTTATATACCAGTATGTGAGTATATGTGTGTGTGTATGGCAGGATCAGTGGTTGGAGAGGAGGGGTATGCAGCCTGCTACTTGGGCCACTCCGCTATCATCCTACTAACAGCACTCACCTCTCTTGGCACCTCTACACTCCTCCTCTTCCACCACTACATGAAGGTTAATGACCCACGCAGGTAAGTCATCCCCCACATCTACTCTACACACCTTGCTCTCCCATCCTGACACTAGACATCTGTCATAGTACATACACATCAGTACAAGTATGCACACAAAGACAACATTATGCCTGGCAATTATTTCCAAGCAACAGCACCAACACACAAACAAAGTTATCTTCATAAATTATTATTTTTTTTTCTTGCACCATTACCATCTTCCCTTCCCACTAGTACAAGCCACCACCACTATTAGCTTCTTCCCTTCCCACTAGTACAAGCCACCACCACTATTAGCTTCTTCCCTTCCCACTAGTACAAGCCACCACCCCCTATTAGCTTCTTCCCTTACCACTAGTACAAGCCACCACCACTATTAGCTTTTCCCTTCCCACTAGTACAAGCCACCCACTATATCTCTTCCCTTCCCCCTAGTACAAAACCACCACCCCTATTAGCTTTTTCCCTTCCCACTAGTACAAGCCACCACCACTATTAGCTTCTTCCCTTCCCACTAGTACAAGCCACCACCACTATTAGCTTCTTCCCTTCCCACTAGTACAAGCCACACCATATTTAGCTTTTCCCTTCCACTAGTACAAGCCACCACCACTATTAGCTTCTTCCCTTCCCACTAGTACAAGCCACCACCACTATTAGCTTCTTCCCTTCCCACTAGTACAAGCCACCACCACTATTAGCTTCTTCCCTTCCCACTAGTACAAGCCACCACCACTATTAGCTTCTTCCCTTCCCACTAGTACAAGCCACCACCACTATTAGCTTCTTCCTTCCCCCTAGTACAAGCCACCCCCACTATTAGCTTCTTCCCTTCCCCTAGTAAAGCCACCCCACTATTAGCTTCTTCCCTTCCCACTAGTACAAACCACCACCACTATTAGCTTCTTCCTTCCCACTAGTACAAGCCACAACCAATTAGCTTCTTCCCTTCCCACTAGTACAAGCCACCACCACTATTAGTTCTTCCCTTCCCACTAGTACAAGCCCACCACCACTATTAGTTCTTTCCTTCTCCCCTAGTACAAGCCACCACCACTATTTTGCTTCTTCCCTTCCCACTAGTACAAGCCACACCATATTAGCTTCTTCCCTTCCCACTGACAAGCCACCACCACTATTAGCTTCTTCCCCTTTCCCCCTAGTACAAAACCCCACCACTATTTTGCTTCTTCCCTTCCATAGTACAAGCCACCACCCCTATTAGCTTCTTCCCTTCCCACTAGTACAAGCCACCACCACTATTAGCTTCTTCCCTTCCCACTAGTACAAGCCACCACCACTATTAGCTTCTTCCCTTCCCACTAGTACAAGCCACCACCACTATTAGCTTCTTCCCTTCCCACTAGTACAAGCCACCACCACCACAACTGCCTTCTTTCCTCCCACCAGTACAAGCCACCACCACAACTGCCTTCTTTCCTCCCCACAGTAAAGCCACCACCCACCACTGCCTTTTTCCCTCCCACCACTGCCTTCTTCCCTCCCACCAGTACAAGCCACCACCACTGCCTTCTTCCCTCCCACCACTGCCTTCTTCCCTCCCACCAGTACAAGCCACCACCACTGCCTTCTTCCCTCCCACCAGTACAAGCCACCACCACTGCCTTCTTCCCTCCCACCAGTACAAGCCACCACCACTACCTTCTTCCCTCCCACCAGTACAAGCCACCACCACTATTACCGTCCTCCCTCCTAACAGAAGCAATTATTGTTATCAATGACATGTGCTTTTTTTTAAAGAACTGGAAGCAATAAATGCAGAATGATGGATAAATTATATTTAGTTGAATGGGAGTTAATCATATTCAACTGAAGAAGTGAAGATTATCATTCCTTGGATCAAGAGCACTTCACTTGCATCAACGCACCTCTTCTCAAATGATCAAACCAAATGTATTCCAAGACTGAATTACCAAAAAAAAGAGAGGGTAGGAATTCTGGTTGGGTGGGTGTGGAGTGAGAGAAGGAGAGGAGAGGGAGAGTAAGTGCAGTGGAAGGTGGGTACACCAGCTGGTGACTATTGATCCAGACTTACCTTTTGCTAGCCTTGCCTCCTACCTGCACAACAACAACAACCACAACCATCCTCCACCTTAAATTTACCAACACCACAATTATAATGTAATATTTCCATTTCGCTCTGTTATCATACGTCAAAGACTTCTGAAAAAATTAGTTCAATAGCTAGTGCACTCAGCTCACACACTGAGGTCTGGGGATCGTTCCCCTGGTACAGCTGGAAAACATTAGTGTGTGTTTCTATAAGTCACATCTTGTCCCTGTTCACCCATCAGTAAAATGGGTACCTGGGTGTTGTTATTATTACTATTTTTTAACACATTGGCTGTCTCCCACTGAGGTAGGGTAACTCAAAAATGGAATACTTTCACCATCTTGTCCCTGTTCACCCATCAGTAAAATGGGTACCTGGGTGTTAGATGACTGGTGTGGGTCGCATCCTGAGACAAAACTGACTTAATCTGCCCAAAATGCTGTGCAAAACATGAGACTTTCTATATAGTGGTAAGTCATTGATGTCAGCTATGGTCTGTATACCTTGTACATGTACTGGTAGAAATAAAGATATTTTTATTATGGTCGTGCATTTTACTGGAACTTTTATACAGTACAGTTCATATATAACATTTTTCACTGTAGTTCATGTGAAGTAACTATATGAACACATGAAAGTACTGTACTGCATTACTGCAGTTATGAGCTAAACAGTGATTCCTTGCAGTCTGGAGGGACATCTGAAGTGTAGTATCGGCACACCTCTGGCAAGACTGATGACATGAATGATGGTGAAAGTATTCTATTTTTGAGTTACCCTACCTCAGTGGGAGACAGCCAATGTGTTAAAAAACAGTAATAATAATAATAATAAATTATTAACATTACCATTTTAAAAAATTACATTGTATTGTAAGTGGGTAAATAGTATTTTTTTTTATTTTTTTTTAATGTTTTTTTTATCATTTGAGCCTTTGACACATTAGTTTAATTCCTTGGTACAATATTCATTTTATCCACACACATATTAAATAACAAAAAAAAAAGGCACAATACCGTGACTGGAACGATACACAAATAACCCGCACATAGAAGAGAGGAGCTTAGTCATATTATATTGGAAGAACCCCTACTTTAACATGATACATATAATCATAACTTCAGAGAAATTATGAGAAACCTGATATACTGTATTTCAGGTTCATGACAGCTGGCAGCAATGTGGCTGGATGGAGTGTGGGTGTGGGAGCTGTGTGGCTTGTAGCTGTGGTGGTATCAGTGCTGCCTTATGCTGGATGGAACTCTTGGGAAGTTCATGATGCACGTTGCCATTTGTCAACACTGTGGCCACTCTCCTTCACGGCATTCCTCACGTTCTTAGTGGGTGGCCACGTTGCTGCAGCACTTCTTATGTGGGCCTCCACCCGTGCCACTCAGCTCAAAGCCATGGCTACCCACAGAGCAACTGCACCTCCGGTCAATTGCCCTGATGCAGAAGAAGCTCCAATTGCAAATCATGTGTAAGTGTAATCTTGTTCTAATGCTGCACGAAGCACAGTACAGATGCTCCTCGCTTTATGATGGTTCAACTTGTGATATCTAGACTCTACGCTGGTGCAGTAGGGGCCGAACGTTCCAAAAATTTTGGAAAGATTTTACATCCTTTACACAATGAGCATAAACTTGTATCCATTTATTTACTTTTCAATACTGGTATTAGTTACAGTAATTATTTTTTATTTACTTATTCAGTGACTGTAGTTATTTATCATATACAGCTTCTCCTCTCTTACTGACGTACTCATTTGCCAACAACTCGGACTTATGACGGGCTCTCTGACCAGCATGCATACCTAAATAGTGTATATTAGAGCTGATTTCCTCTATTCTGTTTATTACCATATACAGTACACTACTGTATGAACATTTACAAATGTACTAAAAATGTTATAAATGGTGCATAGGTGACATTAAAACAATATCAAAGATGTTGACACAAACCCACTACATTATAGTATGCTCCTCACTTAGCGATGAATTCGTTTACCGATGTGGTCTTAAGAACAGAACTCCATCGTTAAGTGAGGAGAGGCTGTATTCACATTCGAATTACAATATTTTCAACTTATGATGAGATCATTGGAGCATAACTCCATCGTAAGTCAAGAAGTACCTACTGTATGTTACTCAGTGCTGTACTGCAATAAATGTGCTAATTCTCGGTATGGTACACCGAGCTTTGTGATAAGCAGTTTTCATAATGCTTCGGTCCTCTTTCCTGCTTGTTCATGAAGTCATCATTATCAATGTTATTGCAGGCAAGGAATATACAACAGCAGCAGTGACAGCGTGCGTGTGGGTGGTTGGTTGGTAAGTGTAGGCTCCTTGGTACCCATGTTAGCTCATGTGGTGGTAGCATCCTCTTGTGCTGCCTCATCCCAGTGTCAGGCCAGCCCTACCCACTACCATGAGGAGGCTGCAGCACTACCCTGGTCTTCACTGCTACTGGCTGCTGCTGCTGTCACCAATCCTCTTCTCTATGTCTTCACTGATGACCAGGTAAACTTCAACAATGACCAAAATGACAAAAACCTGTTACAAAAAAATACTACCTTCGTTGATCTGATATACAGGAATTTGCTGACAAAAACCGAACTGTTTATTAATTAGTAATTTTTTGCTCCGAGTGTTTTATCCATTTTTCTCTAATGGCGTTTTCTAGTGTTTTTCAGCAACAATTGTCAAAATACACATCCTTAAATATTGGCACAAAGTGAGGCATTTTCATTTGCTTTCTGGTTTACTTAATTGTAGTGAAATTCAAAAGTTTTTGCAGAGGATTAAGCATGGTTATAATTACTGTATTTAACCCTTTGACTGTTTTGGTCATATACACACGTCTTACGAGCCACCTTTTCTGACGTATATTTATACTCATAAATTCTAGCGGCTTCAAATCAAGCAGGAGAAAGCTGGTAGGCCCACATGAGAGAATATGTCTGTGTGGTCAGTGTGCACCATGTAAAAAAAATCCTGCAGCACACAGTGCATAATGAGAAAAAAAACTGACTTTTTTTTAATTAAAATGCCGACTTTGTGGTCTATTATCGTATAGTATTTATGGTTGTATTCTCGTTTTCTTGGTCTCATTTGATAGAATGGGAAACATATTATAGAAATAGAGGTGATCTTGATGGGTTTTAGTATGAAAAGAACCTTGAAATGGAGCTTAAAATAGGGGAAATGTTTGATTATTACCGATGTTCAAAAGTAAACAAATGATGTCATTGTCCAATAAATGTCCAACTAGTCATTCTAATATGCAGTCATGAATGGGTTGATGTTATTTATACAATTACAATACTGAAATAGTCTGCATAACAGTAAATCTTCTATGAATAAAATTTCAAAATAAAAAGCAAGAGTAATATCAGAGGGGCTGGAGACATGACTGATGAACAAAGAAAATGTTATTTTAGAGCCAGGAATGTCTGCATTGTTCATTCTGGACCTTATTTTGAAATTGTCATATTTTTTAATTTTCATGAAATTGGCCAAATTGAAAATTTCTGACCACGTTATTGGGTAGTTGAAATCGGTAAATGGGCAGTTTCTTGTACTCAATCGATAGAAAAAATGGAGTTCTAAAGAAATAGCTATGAGTTTGGTTGACTGGAACAATGGAATTAGCCGAAAATAGGGCTCAAAGTGGGCGAAATTGCAAATTCTTAAATATCGCCGAGGTTGCTAACTTCACGAGAGCGTAACTCCGTCAGTTTTCCATCAAATTTCGTTATTTTGGTGTCATTACAAGTGAGAAAAGATTCTCTATCATTTCATAAGAAAAAATTTCTTTTTTTTTTTTTAAATTTTGCGACACCAGGAGACACCAATGGGTTAATATTGCTATAGTGTCCATGAGCCTCTGATTCACAATTTTGACTGGATCAATCAGTAGGTATACTCTGGGTTATTCATGCACACTGATTAGCCTTTAATTAAAGCAGGAATAACTTACACTGTGTACTTTTAATAACCAGGATTGCCATACAATTTTTCTTTAAGTGCATTGCAGTTATGCATTTTCTACATTCTTATTTGTGCATACGTACATTGTATGCTTCAGTATTTCAAAATAAAAACCAACGACTAGGGGGCAAATTTACACCATCTCCAGGAATGCAAACTTTACTGTGTGTTCAAGTGTTCAATTAGCTGGCTAGTTAGCCATCATCAGTGGTAAGCCTGGCTAGAACTTACTACAAAAATACAATATATGTATCAGATTTAAGTGTGTTTCATATGTTCCATATTGCTGTGACTGTTATGTATAGACGTCATACATTAAACAGTCACAATACAATACTGTAGATGCATTTACAATTTGTTGTTTTCAATAATTTACAACTAATTTTGATGTAATGAAAATGATTTTCAAGGGTATTCCCTTTCAGGTGTCCTCTTCAACACTGTTGTTACTGTCAAGAGTGTGTTGCTGGTGGTGCGAGCGCCGTAAACAACGCTTGGTGCCACGTCACCAGGAGCCGCACGACGCCGAGACTAATGTTTACGTAACCAACGATACAGACCACCTGGTGTCTGACAACACTTAAGGCTTGTGATGATTCTCATCGTAAAACATTACAAATGCTCTTTTTTCACCCATGTCAGGTTTAAGCAAACCCAGATTCAACAAAATAGCTTACCTGCCATTAGTGGCTCTGAAATATAATAATAATTTAATTAACTTAAGATTCTGAGGAAGCAATCTGCAATACAATATTAGCCAAATATACTCCTAAAAAAATATATTTTGAAAAAATAATAAAAATGATACTACTGATAAATAAAGACAATATAAATTGAAGACATACAACTTAATCAGAAAACTAAAGTTCATGGGATTTGGTCATTTATTAACTATTACTACTTTTGGCATATTGCAGTCTTACCATGCAAAACATTTAGTTTATTCTTACACAAACTGAATTCTAAACCTTCATCAAATAATTAAAATGACCTGTAATAGTTTAACGAACATTTGTAAATGCTAAGTAACAACCCACATGGAGACAAATGCACAAAATAAAACTGATGTGCATATTTTAACCTCCCTCTCGCCCAATTGTATCTGCTGAGGACTCCCTCTACTAGAGGTTGAAATATTTGAATCAGCTCTATTTCTGTTTCTGTCTCCATGTGGGTTATTACCATTAGAGTAACTTATTCATTGACTTTTATTTTAAATGCATCACTAGGAAATATCACATTTAAAAAATACCTACTCAACATGTTTTGCATTTCACAAAATACATATGTATGTACCAATACATACAGTGTACCTACATGGGACTACCTGTTTGTAGCTACAGGTGCAAAGTATGCTCATGTCGTTCCTACTAAAATGTTTATATAATATTACTACTAGTATCTCCTCATGGATCCCATTCCAGTGCTATACCACTTTGTCAGTACAGTATAGCACTGTTTCAGTAATGTTGCTTCTTGTCACTGACGGTGCTGAGAAATCATTATTTTATCGTATCCTTTTTTTGGTTCTGTAATTCCAATAGTGAACAGATGGGATATACTGTACAAAAATGTGATCAAAATTAAACTGTCAGCTGGTTAGCAGTTATTTGCTTAGCATGTGTTCATCCATTTTTCTCCAATGGCTTTTTTCCAGAATTTTCATAGGCCAGGCCTATAGGTCAAAGGGACATCACCGTCACCTTTTTTTTAAACAATGGATTGCTATAATGAGTACTATTTTACATTGAAATCTTAAATTTCCAAGAGTGGAACCTAGCTCTTCAGAACACACTTAAAATACATGGTGCTATACCTTTTCCCTATTGTTTTTTTTCTTGCTAACTTCCAGCAGTAACTTCTGAACTTCCTCTTTTGATATTCCCATGTTCTCCCACGTAATCACAGTCTAGACCTTCTCCAACTTGGTGATTATTTTTTTTTACACACTTGAACAAAAGACTTAGTTCTGTCTTGCTCTTTTCCTCTTTCTTTTTCAAAGGTTCTGTCCTTGACACTATTTTTAATAAATGTTGGACAACACTATATATCTTGATTATTCATGTTTCTTTCAGTTGTTTCTCTGCAATACTGGCTTAGATCTTTCTGATAATTTTTTTCAAACCTGTAATTTTCTTTTCTACCCCAGGTTATATTTAGCAACATGTTACTTTTAATACACAAATAACCCACTCATAGGAGAAAGAAACTTATAGGTTTCTGTCTCCTATGTGCATTGTTCCAATCATGGTATTATGCCTTTTTGTATTTTATTTCCAATATGACTGCAGATTCTGAGTTCAGATTGTTTATGTTGAGATTTCTTGTTATTTTCTTGTATATACTGGTTCATTTATGCATTGACAGTGTATTACCCTCTCTCATTACTTCTTTACTGTGCCAATCCATAAAAATTATTAAATTCAGTAATCTGGTTGACCATTTGTCTACCATTCCAGCCTCATAGTTGAAATTCCTCATTACAAAGATCTTGACCTTCTCACCATTGCTTTGTGTTGAAAAAAACATTAGCATATTACACAGTTCGTCAATTATCTTGTCAAATTCTTCTCTGCTCAAGTTCTTAATAGGTGGATTGTATGTATATATTGCTCCTGTAGCAGGTACCGTATATGACAGGTTATTCTAATTAAGTATCTCAAATAGACCTGCAGTATATAATGAAAAAATCTGACTTTGAACAGTCACTATATAAGTCATGTGGAATGCCTCAATTAGGCACATCTATTAAATAACCAAAGCCCACGCACTCATTCATAACCCCTCCCCTAGATGTGACACCCACTCTTATAAATATCTGCATGCAACTAAATTCATATGCATACATATATATGAAAAATAACCACTGTGAAAAAATCAGCAAATTTCCAAACACTTTTGTCATTTCTCACATTATCAAGGAACTGTTCCTTGATAATATGAGAAACCATGAAAGTGCTTGGAAATTCATTATTTTTTCACAGTGGTTATTTTGCATATTGTGATATCACCTGTTTACTGTGATCTTATTGCATACATATATATACATGTTCTCCCCTCACCTTCCAATGCATCCATATCGTCCTTCCACCCCGCCCAACATACCCTCACACCCCTTATAATACACACCCCTTCCTACAACCACACCCCCATCCCTCCCCCAACACACACACCTACACCCACTCCCATACCCATACCAACAAATTATATATCAAAACAATAATTGTACACTGAAACTGCAACAAACTTCATAACTTCCCTGGATAATTGTTTCATGTAATATACAGTGGAACCTCAAAAATCCAACTTAATCCGTTCCAGGAGCTAGTTATAAATTTGAAAAGTATGAAATTCGAAGCAATATTTCCCATAAGAAATAATGGAAATACAATTAATCCGTTCGAGAAACCCAAAAATATTCACACAAAAAATACATTTTATAGAGATTAATTACAGTTTTACATACAACAAATACTATAGTTTTTAATTACGTATAGTAATACATATAAAATAACATTTTTACTTACCTTTATTGAAGACTGGTGATGGCATCTGGAAGATAGGGAGGAGGAGAGAGGGAGTTGGGGTTAGTGTTTGGAAGGAGAATCCCCCTCCATGAGGACTTCAGGTAAAGCCCTCTCTGGGGTTACTTCCCTTCTCTGTCTTTTAATGCCACTAGGACCAGCTTGAGAGTCACTGGACCCCTGTCTCACAAAATAACTGTCCACAGTCCTCTGTTTCTGGTGGCTCTTTAACATTTCCCTAAAATGGAACATGGTTCTGTCAATGAACTTGTTGCAAAGATGGCTTGTTTCAGCTTGCTCAGGGTGGTAATTCTGCACAAACATTTGGACATCATTCCACTTGGCACAAATCTCCTTAATCTTTGAAGAAGGCACCTCATCCACTCCTCCTTCCTCCTCCTCTGAAGCAAGTTCCTCAGCTGTGGTCTGATACTGCTCCAGATGAAGCTCTTGCAGCTCTTCAGTGGTTAGCTCTTCCCTGTGGTCCTCCACCAACTCTTCCACATCCTCACCACTCACCTCCAACCCCACTCTTTGAAAATTTGTCTTGTGACCCATGCCTTATGATTAGCTTTCCACAAGACACATAAATTGTTCTTAAAGACATTGTTTTTCTTAAACACTCTGGGGTTTTCTGAATGATACACAAATAAAGGCTTCACTTTAAAATCACCACTAGCACTAGCACAGAATAAAAGAGTAAGCTTGTCTTTCATAGGCTTGTGTCCTGTCAGTGCCTTTTCCTCCTGTGTGATGAAGGTCCTTTTTGGCATTTTCTTCCAAAACAAGCCTGTTACGTCACAATTAAACACTTGTTCAGGTTTGAATTCTTCACTGTCTATGTACCCCTTAAACTCCTGTACAAACTTCTCAGCCGCCCGTTTGTCTGAACTGGCTGCCTCACCATGTCTTACAACATTGTGTATGCCACTACGCTTCTTAAATCTGTCAAACCAGCCTCTGCTGGCCTTAAATTCACTATCAGCACTGGTTCCAGGAGTTTTCTGTACCATATCGGCATGCAACTTCCTTGCCTTTTCGCAAATAATCGTCTCTGAAACACTATCACCTGCAATCTCTTTATCCTTGATCCACACCAGCAACAACTTCTCAACCTCTTCAACTATTTGTGGTCTCTTTTTGGTTAGCATATTAACACCTTTCGCAACATCAGCTTCCTTGATTTGTTCTTTCTTTGACAGGATAGAACCGATGGTCGACTTGTTTTTCCCATACATCCTGGCAAGCTCAACAAGTTTCACACCACTCTCATACTTCTGTATTTATTTCCTTCTTCACATCTATGGTGTTTCTCACTTTCTTTACCACAGGGGTACCACTAGCAAGTTTCTTTGGGCCCATGGCAGCTTATTTCACAGTCCCACAAGCACTAAACACAACGAAATAATCATAAAATGTGTGAATGAGAGAGCAGGTTAGTGTTCACTCAAGCATAAACAAAGCTAGACTGCTCACGGCACCTGCGCGGGGACGCGGACAGAGCGGGCCCATGGACATGTCCCGTACCCGGCAGGTCCAAAAATAGGGGCACGTTCGATAATAGGGACACAGTTTGTCCAAAAAAATGGTCCTATTTTCGAAACGTTCAATATGTGATACGTTCGATTTTTGATGTTCCACTGTATGTGAAAATTTTTAAAGTCAGCATTTATAACAAACAAATCAGAATTATACATATACAACAATATAGTACTGTATAAACCATATAAAAAAATATTTTAAGTCACTAAACACTAAATATTTGCATATTAAAAGTTTGTAACAGCTTTAAATGTTAATCAAGTGTTGTGTAATGGTGAGCTTATTGTGGTGAGCTTATTGTGGTTGGTATTATATTTGTGGGACAGTGCTCAAGCCATAGTGGTCATGGAGCTCGTAGAGAACGAGAGGTAATCAGGGTTCATCCCAGAAGAGGGTAGCTCAAATTCCTTGAATCTAGAGCCCTTTACAAGCATCAAGGCATCCCTATTTGAGACTGCAGTTGATATAGTATTATAAAAAAGAAGCACTAACTCCATATGCACTGTATGACAGCCTTCCACTAATACTGTACATAGTTGTAAAGTTCGGCACAATATCCAAGTACAGTACTGTAAGTCTCTGATGATTTAAGTGCTTTCTGCATTTTATCTTTTGAACAGCTGTTAAATATGTCAATTTATTTCAGAAGTAAATGACTGTAGGCAGTCCTGCCGGCACTATTGAAAACTGCAGATTGCTTCAGACGCAGATTGCTTCAGACGTATCGCAGCGCTGTATAGCCCTTGTGGCTTAGCGCTTCTTTTTAATTACAATAATAATAATTCAGACGTATCATAATATACTGCACAGAGGGAGAACATCAAAACTAATGGCAAAACATTTTGAAAACAGCTCAAATCAAGAACAAAATATAAATTAATCTTTTTTTGTGTTCACTCCAAACAATTTGGAATTTGTTTTCTATTGTAAAAAAAATGTGCAGTTTTGAAGTCTAACATTTATATTCTACAAAAGTGTTAAGAATTTTACTATATCTGCACAAAAAAGCAGATACAGATCCTCAAATCCAGCACAATCAAATGGGAAAATCCCTCAGAACAACTATTTTGAGAACTGTATTACAGCACAAATACAGTACAAAATACTATTGGAAGGTAAATCTTCATTGCCACGTACACCTGAGCATCAATTATCAGATAAATTTAATCCCATGTTTGCATAAGTGACAACAAAATTATTTTGGTACTGCATAGGCCATTCAGGAAACTAAACCTACGTAGAGCACCTAACATTAGTTACTCTCTTCAAAACAAAAGTCCTGCAAATCAGCTATGTTTCAGTCTTAAAGTTGCCGGATTTGATGGTTTGCACAGTAGTACCTGTCCATGTTAGAATGCTCAAATAAAAAAAATTAACCATTAAGAGGGACATAAGTTCCCCTGTCTTCTAATAACATGTTCATTTTTTCCACTATAATCTACCTTGTTCATAATTACTATCACATTTGCTTTGTCTGTTTCGTAAGGTGAAGTCCAGGATCTTTACTTAATTAATGGTATAACTTAACAAATGTTTGAGGACAACTGCAACACACTTGTCCTCAAAGATTATTAGATGGGGGAACTTACGTGCCTCTTAAACCTTTCAAATTTGATACTACAAACATTATAAAGGTGCTTTAATCAGATACTGTTTCTACTGTATGTAAACTCATAATTAGAGCATACTGAATGCCAAAGCTAATCAGAAAAGGTAAAATATAAAGAATATGAAAAATAAACTATAGATTACGTCACTCACTATGGGCACATGATACTCTGAGCATATACTCTGTTCTTGTCAGGTTTATGAGAAAAATGTACAGTAGATCTGTATTACTCAGTGTAAATTACCTTCCAATATTGTAAGTTGGATTAGTCTTATTTGCCACCTAAATGCACATGGATAACTTGAAGTTTTGCACACTTTCCCTTCTTATGGAACATCATGAAATATGGTCATGAAAATTTTTGATAATGCTAGTTTTGTATTTTGCAACAAAACTAATATAGTAACTTGCCTAAGAATTTACATAATTATATTTCACCATGAACAGTGAAGGGAAATGCAAATCCTCAGTGGTTCAATACACATTTTGCTATTCATGTTCATACAGTTAATGTCCATCCTTAATATATATGCTTTATGCTACTAAAAGCATCATTCAAGTCTTGTGCATGTGTAAAAGTGAAATCGGAGTTGACCTAGAAGTCTATCTATCCAAAGTGTGTGTAAAGTTAGAAAGTGGCGGCAAATTTTACACTCTTATATAACACCAATCGTTAATAAGCCAAAATTAACTATGAATACCTTATATATTAACACAGATGATATTTTTTAGTATCAAAGGAATCTTCTGACTTCTGTAATTCCTCTGTAAAATATTGAACTGTATTTCCTAGTTACCCAAGCAGATCCAATTTATACATGCTCTGTAATGACATAAATAAACCCACAAGAAGAAACCGAAACAGAAGGCAAGAAAGGTTGTACATGAATGGTAAATAATGCCAAAAATATGAAAATTAGACACATGTGCAACTTCTGGGTATCTTTATTGTAGACGTTTCGCCACCCAGTGGCTTTATCAATGCAAATTCAAGGACATAATTGGAAGACAGTAGAAGACAGTAGAATTTGTACTGATAAAGCCACTGGATGGTGAAACGTCTACAACAAAGATATCCAGATGTTGTACGTGTGTCTAATTTTCATCAGAAGGCAAGAAGATTACAGTATTGTATATTTCAGCATACCACTTCAACAGGTAGAGCAATAGAATCTCAGTAGTATGCCAAATATACTACCACATAAAGTACTCTCTCTTAATATTTGCTTTATTTTCTCCATGTGGGTTTGTTTCTGCCAGTAATCAGTGTTTATTACACTTTTGTGTATGCTTTGTAATACTGTATTTCACAAAGTAATGTAATAGAATAAGCTATTAAACACATTATATATATATTCTTGTACAGCACCAAAGTGTCAAACATTACCTCATTTTACTGTATCTAAGATCAGTCATTCAAAACTCAAAGTTTGTGTCAAATGTAGTGTTAGTTTATACAATGTCTAAATAACAAATGGAAGGGTAAACACTAAACACATCAAATAATATATTAATTTCATGATTTCTGGACTTATTTTTGTACAGCTACTGCAACAATAAATTTGCACTATTTGCTTGGAAAATGATTACTGTTTTATAAGTCAAGATTACAAGCTTTGTATTTAAAGCATGACTTATAAATATACATGCATGTTCTAAATAATAACCCACATGGAGACAGAAACTCAGGCGACTAATTGATCTGTATATTTCGACCCCCTTCTGGGATACTCTTCTGCAGATTCTGCTGAAGAGGATCCCAGATGGGGATCAAAATATACAGATCAATTAATCGCCTGAGTTTCTGTCTCCATGTGGATTATTATTGGCCACTGACAAGTGTTCATTACACTTTATTCATACATGCATGTATACACATTATTTGTACAAGCACACAAGAACAATGCCCTGCCACACAGTAAACTGACTACCGCACAAAAAAAGAACTCTAGACCATTATAACTGATCTTACACGATGTTACATCATTTCTATTGTATGTACAATGTTGATGTAGGCTTCTCATAACTTGTTCAAGTAGGAAGAAGGAAATATATTTAGCACTGTTTAGACTTCACTGTCATGTAAGTGTAATGAATGTTTGTTCAATGCAGTATGTGATGCAATCAAATTGCCATAAATAATACCTTCAACTGACTATTGATCTGTCAAAATCCATCCAGCGTGAAAACAATGGAAAAAATTTAAACTGACAAAATCCATGAATGTGCAACATAAATAAATTTACTCCTCAACACAGCTACCGTATTTTCCGGCACATAAGGCATGCTTTTTTCCCCACAAACAATCTTGGAAAATCAGTCTGCACCTTATATGGTCAAGGTCAAGGGTAGGCTTTGTGTTACTCTTTAGCAATTGTTTACTAATGTTATGTTACAACTGCTTGCCAACGTCATCTCATAGGATTGTGAGCTGCCTTATGTGCCAGAAAATATGGTATGTAAAACTACTTTAAGAAAGTCTTAGTGTTAAGAAGTCAAGCACAGTGATATGATCAACAAGTGTAATATACTGATATAGGCAGTAGTAGCTTCTTAAATAGGTTGCATTAATATTTACTTTTTTTTGGTAATGTACACTCACACACACACACACACACACACATACATTAAAGGAATTAATTTAGAGAGCTGCAAAACCAGAAACAAAACTCTTCAGCTAAAAACTGAGAAATGAGTGATCCAACATTAAAATTTCTGAATCCAATTCTTTGGAGAAGCATAAAGTTCATTTTTGGTACTCTGACACTGGTATGGTCATTTAGTATGAAGGAATTCTGACAATGGAGTAAATTTTTGTTATTATTTTTTCAAAGTACAGTCACAGACAGAAATTCTTGGCCAATATCACATACACAGTGACAGTGAAAATGATAAGAAAGAGATAATGTCTCTTAAACAGAGAATAGTTTATGACAGAACAATGATTTCAGAGATGACAAGCGCTGTCTCAATCCTACAAGAAAAGTCATAACAGTGACTCAGAGATCAGACAGGAAAAAGGGATAAACAGACTGCAGTTTCTTTGACATGATACTACACAGAAGATAAATAAAAACACTTAAAAGATAGACCAAAGTAGCAGGGAAGTTAAAGAATTAGTAAAGGAATATCTAAATATTGTAACAGAAAATAGTCTTAGTAAAAAACAATGAATTTAAATGGCCTAAAGTAAACAGCAGTGTTCAAATAGATGTTCTCTGAGGCCTGGCCCTGTTGACCACACACAAATGACCTCCCCATATATCTCAACTCATTTATGTCTCCATTATGTTAACTCTATTACAGATTCAAGACAATGAGTAGAAGAGAACCTGATAAGGACTGGTAAAAATTATAAAATGGCGAGAGAAATTTAACCCAATAAATGTACAGTAATGAAAATAGGCAAAGGAACAAGGGGACTTAAAAAAATATATATTTTGGGAGAACACTTCTCAAAAATCAAAAACATTAAAATCTAGGAGTTAATATTATATATAATCTATCACTAGAAACTTGTGTAAGCCGAATCTTCTCAAAAATCAAAAACATTAAAATCTAGGAGTTAATATTATATATAATCTATCACTAGAAATTTGTGTAAGCCGAATAATGTTGGTGGCGTAAGCCAAGCAAGCTTCCAAGTATAAAGTAGAACCCAGGACCATATATAAAGAAGCACCCACAGTAATTTAAATAAGACATATTTCACAATTCTTTAGTATGCAGTATCATCAAGGAGTTCAAACCTGGCTGTACTATAAAACATTTCACCCATGAGCAGGTTTTTATCAAGCATGCTATGTACTTGGTACAGCTCACTCATGAGCGAAACACTGTGCCAATAGAGACTTCCCTGCATTAAAAGGTCCAGTCACCACTTGCTAGCATTATGCCCATATTAATACAGAATTCAAACTTAAAAAAAAAAAAAAATTGAAATATGAAACAAGGTTGGTAGTGGAGCTAAGAAAAAATTAATGAAGAAAGATTAATAGAAATGGAGCTGACAAAGCTAGAAGACTGGAGAGAGAAAGAGAGAGAGAGAATTGTTAGGTAAGACACATATGCAACAGTTAGGTATCTTTATTTCGAAACGTTTCGCCTACACAGTAGGCTTCTTCAGTCGAGTACAGAAAAGTTGATAGAAGCAGAAGATACTTGAAGACGATGTAATCAGTCCATCACCCTTAAAGTTTTGAGGTGGTCAGTCCCTCAGTCTGGAGAAGAGAATTGTTCCGTTGTCTGAAACAATATACTGTTGCATATGTGTCTTACCTAACAATCTGTCGGTATTTTATACCATTTTAATGTTCAGAGAGAGAATTGCAACATGCAAAATGCTCAAACAGACATTATCAAGAGAAGGTGGGAAGGGGGAGGGTTTGAAATAAAATTCCCAAATGCTTCAGATACATTAAAGAAGCTTTTTAGTGTCAGACCAACAGAAAAATTAAACAGACTCGAGAGCAATACAGTTGAAGCCAAAAAATTCATGGCTTCAAACAATGATACAATATGATGAATCAGCATCACCTCAGCCAATTCAATGTTAAGAAGTGGGCCCACATGCTGAAGCTTAAAAATCAGAATTTGTCTTGTATTCAACTTTCTTCAAGCTTTTAATTTAGATGCCAGTAAATAATAATAAGGCATATCAGTCACACTTCTAATAACATGTACAGTACATCCAACAGTCTGCCCCTCAGCCTTATATTCATGAAGTCTCAAAGAGTACTCTCAAAGTAGACTTCCTCATACCTCATAAACTTGTTTTTTTTCTTGAGGCCTGTCATGCCTGTTACCAAACCTCAAGGGTAATTTCATTGAAGACCATCCATCACTTACACCCAGTACTTAAAACTTCCATATTACAATTTCTAAAACAGTGTCTCCCATTTTAGCACTAAGCTTAAAGTCTCCATAAACAATTATTCTTACTTGACTCATAATTCCTTGATCATTCGCTTCTTACTTACCAGAATACTTCTCTTCTACACTATCACCTAAAGGAGAAGAAACACCAACTATTACAAATTTCTTACATCCCACTTTTATTCTAAGCTACTGAACTCTCTAAATATAAACATTTATAGCCTTTATTTTTTCCATACCCTCTCATTCAACATTACAACTACCATAGGTATCATAAGTATGCATAAGCATAGATAGATCCCACAGCAAACAAGACTACTCACCATAAACTATTGTTTTAAATATATAATACTGATACATACCTCAAGTCTCCTAGGCACTGATAAGGCAAAATTATAGAGGATTGAAAAGTCAACACTTTCCCACACCTGCTTAATCACGCTTGAGATTTTGGGGATAGAGGACACATCCATGCCACAAAGCATATGCTTAACGTGTTTCCAAATGTTCTCTATCAGAGAAGCCCAGTGAGTTTCCAATCATTAAAGTATAGAAAAAATCACAATAATTTTGCCAATTCTGTATGTCTTTGGCAGTATAGCAAAAGGCACCGTTTTTCATACAAAAGTTGACCTGGCATTTCTCGAATCTCTCGGGCAACTACAGTCTGCTAAAGGTGTACATATGGACATACATATTTAATACACCTACTGTACATCATACTAGCTTTAGTCTGCCTAAAATGCTCATGTAAAGGAATTTTCATAAAAATTACATAGAGATGTAATCCCAGAAAAGAATTACCACACTGTAATTCTTTGAAAAATGTTTTCACTCATTCTCTCAAACACATACAACCTAATTCTAACTCCTTCCTATTTAAACTTTCCCACTCCTCTAAACCTTGTTTTACTCCCTCACTCAGAGCAGTCTGGAATTTATTTCTAGAAAATGGTGTACACTACATACAATGTCTACATTGCTCATTACAATCCAAAAAATAAGCAAATGCCAAACAATAAAAATGGGAACTCCCTAATGATTGTAGAAGTTGTTCCAAATATGTACAATTACATAGCATGTACATTATATGTGGTAGAAGGCATGATTAGTTTAATATATTTATGCACCCTATACCCATCCTGTGGGCAGTAGTCAAAAGATTACACAGGTACATAATGGGTCCAGGGACTGGGCCAGAGAGTTTTGATAGCTGAACAAGTTACAGAAGGCCTGGGAAGAGCTTAGTTACACTTAATACTGCAAATGCAAAAGTGGCTGCCATAGCACTGTTGTCTATATGTTAATTTGCACGGCAATCGTGACTCGTGAAATCGTAATAACACGACTGCAAACAAACCAGTGTGTGAGCCAGTGGTTTATGCCCTGGCCTGGAGTTTTACAAGAACCACCTCTTCCACAGTTTGTAAGTCAATCAATCGATGCTTGAAACAAAACAATCAAGCTAATATTCATTTTCCTTTACACATTATACATCTCATCAAGCACTAATATATATTCAATAAATTTCTTTAAAAATCCAGTAATTCAGTTTTATTTTATTTTACATGCTTACTACTTAAACTTTTTCAGTACCAAAATATTACATTCATAAAAAAAATGTCTTAATCCAATATTTAAACTTAAAAAATAACCTAAGATGTTGCCAATTCCCAATATCCACTCAAGCTAGTGGTGACAGAGCATACTATAGGGTGCAATAAAGTTTAGAGGCACCTCTGTTTGATATGTATCTGCTTTTCATATTACATGTAATTTTATATGTTAATCTGGTCATGCCCATTTCTAACATCTCTTAAAAATAATATGGCATGTTTTCTTTATATGAGTTCAATTAATCACCTTTTTTGACTGGTTTCCAATAATTTAGCAGCTACAGAATTTTCGTCGACCTGTACAATCTTCTTTTAACTACAGGTACTCCTCACTTAACAACCTACCTGTTTAATGACCACTTGCGACCAGCTCTCCGACCAATGTACTGCATGTGTATTTTACTTTATTGTTTTTTAATGCCTATTTTTAATATACTAAAAATGTTATAAATGGTGCAAAGGTGACATTAAAACAATATCTAAAGATGGTTGACACAAACCCACTACAAGTACATGTACAGTGGACCCCCGGTTAACGATATTTTTTCATTCCAGAAGTATGTTCAGGTGCCAGTACTGACCGAATTTGTTCCCGTAAGGAATATTGTGAAGTAGATTAGTCCATTTCAGACCCCCAAACATACACGTACAAATGCACTTACATAAATACACTTACATAATTGGTCGCATTGGGAGGTGATCGTTAAGCGGGGGTCCACTGTACTTTAAATATCAGTAAGGGGCGGCTCCTCGCTTAACAACCAATTCACTTACCAACCTACTCTTAGGAACAGAACTCAGCTGTTAAGTGAGGAGCACCTGTAACGTAACTGCCCATTATCCTAACCTCTCCTCTATGCTTTTCATGTAAAAAAAAATTAGGCAACACAAATCATAATCTTAACCAGGATATTAGAATTAAGAAAAACTAAACTTCTGTTGCATTACAAGATTCAAGTAAGGGAAATGCATCATTGTTAAACTTTATGGTGTCAGGGGTAACAACTTGTGTGTAATAAACTTAATAAATATAAAATCCAGAACTATCTTGTATTCTGACTTTTCAATCCTAACAGGTAATATTATTTATGCAACACCATATTTATAAACAGTATAGCACTACACAGTACCTTCACTGTCACTACAATTAATTTTCACTAGGGTGGTTTGGACATTTAGACAGGATAGAGCTAAATAAAACAATGTGGAGAGTGTATAAATCTGAAGTGGAGTGAGTGATGGTGAATTTTTTTTTTTCCGGTCACTCTACCTCAGTGGTAGACGGCCAATGTTAAAAAAATACACAAAGATTTACAATATGGTATGTCTTCAAAGTAATATGCAGTAAATATGTAATTTAAAACTCTTATCAAAATATTCATTTAGTCCAATTAACTGCTTCCAAATTCTTTTGTTGCAGACAGCTATTTATGCAAACACAAATATCCCATTTCACATACGTATTTCACTTATAGCACTTCTGCTTCACACATTGGTTAGATGCTGCTGGAGAAAAAAGCAGCAACAACAACACTAGGATTTTCCCCACTAGCTAAGATGCAGCACTCTGGTTAACCCATGTTCTTCGAAGTCTGTTAACACTTGCTTCCAATAAGGAACATGCAATTTTTGACTCCATATTTCCATCAAAATCCAGCTTACTATGGTGACAGGTCTGTTTAATATTGCAATTTTACCCTTTCTGCATAATGTTGAATGAAGAAAAAAGTACACATGTACTTGACTAAAACATTCCATCACAGACATCAGCATGAAAATGGAAGACGTAATGAAACACATGATAAATTCAACGACGCTAAAATGACATGGGAGTAAAACATCCAGGTGAACCACAGGGATGTTAAAAAGCACTATATGTCCTCAGCATAAAGGTAGTGAAAAGTGTAATAAACCAGAAAAGGTAATGGAAATAAATTAAAGACAAACACAGATTCAAAACTCGACAGAATCAGAGAGACTAGCAACCAGACACCAGCTAATTAACCCTTAAAACTGTTACTGGCCAGTTACCTCTCCAACCCCAACTCCGCAAAAATTACTTTTCTTTCATTTTTTTTATAATGCTGTAGGATATGTTGAATCATTCACAAAAATATATGATATTTTTCGAACTTACCTTTCTACCAAGTTTTAAAGATGAACTTCCTAGTCTGGGTGTGTTGACAGTGAAAATAACTCATGGTGCCAAATTCTTTAAAATGACTATCACAAATAATTTTTTAATTATTATCTCTTTGCATTTTTTATTTACAATATTGACAGTAAATTCAATATAGATATTAAATGTGTTACTGAATGTGGTACTCCACAATCTTCTGTGCTACTACACAATCTTCTTTTTGCTGAGAAAGGAAAAAAACTGAATTTCTCCCATTTGTGAGGCCTGATAACATACTCCATCTTACGTCTGCAGTTATGCAAAAATCCAATTATTTGAGCCAGAGTATTCACCTCCCCTACTCTCCATGTTACTGGGAGAGTCACCTTATGGCCAATTATATATGGGATATATTAAAATAATTTTAACTTTTTCTCCATGGGAAAGTGGAACAGAATTCTTTCTCCGTAAGCCATGCGTGTCACAAGAGGTGGCTAAAATGCCAGGAGCAAGGGGCTAGTAACCCCTTCTCCTGTATACATTACTAAATTTAAAAAGAGAAACTTTTGTTTTTCTCTTTAGGTCACCCTGCCTCGGTGGGATACGGCCGGTTTGTTGAAAAAGAAATAATTCTAGCCTTCGGACTTACCCTCTTGTCCCATATTGATAACTAAATCATTAGTTCAAAAAACTGATCATTACTTACCTTAATGACTGCTTGTCTAATAAGCTTCATGGCTGCTTCCACGTAAGTCTCCCCATCTGAGCTCTCACCTAAGGAGTCTGGTAATTTTCTTATGATTTCACAAACCTGCAAAATAAATTTAAGAAATTAAAAATATCTTAAAAACAGTTAACAATCCAAGAAAAATACCAACAGCAATTGATAGGAGTTGCGAAGTGCATCAAGGAATGCATAGTGATGACAAATGCCCGAATTAAAGAAAGTGATAATATAAAAGTGAACTGACCGAAGGTAAGAGCATCAAAGACGTGACATTGACAACAGCATTCACTTGTGTACACACTTATGAAAATATAAAATACAAATGACTTAGTAAGGTGACACCTAACCTCTATTTAATTATCCATTCATATCTGAATGTTTAAATGACCCAAAAACAATTGGCTCCACACAATGTAATCATAAAATATATCTTATTCTTTCATTTTCTTTCTTTTCTCAGAACTAGAGAGATGCTGCTAGTGACATAGTACTAGTGATGGATATTTTCTATAACGATATGTTGTTGTTTTGCTGGGAGTGAGGGGCTAATAACCCCTTCTCTTGTATGTATTACTAAATTTAAAAAGAGAAACCTTCATTTTTCTTTTTGGGCCGCCCTTCCTTGGTGAGATGCGGCAAGTTTGTTGAAAAAAAAAATGTTATTGTTTACGGTTTACATAAGGGCAGTTGTACTATCATGTGAAAGTCACTGACTAAACATCATCTTGAATAACTTATAGAGTAAGTGATGGTAAAAGTGTTTCCTTTTTTTTGGGGTCACACTATCTAGGTGGGAGATGGTTGGCATGTTTAAAAAAAAAAATGCAAATGGTGAAATACTTTTAAGGACATTAACCTATATACCATATTAGCATTAACTCACTTTGAGAGTCTGTGCAGATATAAAGTCAACCAGTGTAGAATCAGTCTTCATTTGACATTCCCAATCTTCAACAAGCTTCTCCAGCTCCATTCCAACAAAAGCCATAACCATTTCTCTAGTGTCCAGAGATATATCAGTCTCTTTCTGTATGTAAAAAAATACATTCATATCATTTATAATTAAAATTAATTCTCAAAACATCAAACTTCAAATATTTTTATATTTATAAACAAACCAATTATTATAAGGGAAAAGCATTAAACCCTGAAGAATGAAAGGTAATCAGGTTTGATCTAAAGTAGGGGAAGATAAATCCTGAATGAACACTGAAATGAAATGACTATGGAACAATAATCTTCTCCAGACTGAGGGACTCGCCACCTCAAAACTTCAAGGGTGATGGACTGATTACATCGTCTTCACGTCTTCTGCTTCTATCAACTTTTCTGTACTCGACTGAAGAAGCCTACTGTGTAGGCGAAACTGTTTCGTAATAAAGATACCTAACTGCTGCATATGTGTCTTACCTAACAAGATAAATCCTGCTCCTTGAATCAAGAGACCCCTCACCTGTATTAAGGTACCTCCCCTCAGTCGAAAAAGTGATTCAACAGTTAAAAACTTACTTCTGAATTTATCCTGGATGACTGGATGTGAAGTTTCTCCAACCTAAGAAGTGTCTTATGATTTTTCATTTGCAGATGAAGTTTTTCATTCTCATGTTTGTATTTCAGAAGCTCTCTTTGTACTCTCAAAAATTCACTCTCATCTTCAATATTTGGTTTAGCTTCACAGAATGCAGGCTCAAATTCCTTACTCGGAGAACCACCAACAGCGCTTTTTAAGTGTTTAAGCTTCTCGACTTCTACTTTCAGACATATGTTTTCCAGTTCATGTTGCAACTTTTCTTCGTGCAACTTATCTGAGTACTGTAAAAGATCAGAGTATTCAGACAAATATTTATTCAATTCCTCGCACATGCACTGCAATTCCTCAGACTGACATGATACAAAAGTTTTCCAATAATTTGAGCAATTGAAGCTATTCATAGATTTATCCTTTACAGCTGAAATTTCAATATTATTGACAATTTCTTTTAACTTTTCTGTGCAATCTGGCTTATCAATCAATACAATAGCTTCCAGTGATTTTTTAAGAAGATTCATTTCGTCTTCTTGTTTTTTTAAATGATCCTCTGTTAAATGAACAGTTAGCTTTAATTCATCTAGCTGTTTTTGGAGGTCCATCTTTTTGCTTATCTCTTTCTGGTATTCTTCCAGTTTTTCCCTAATTTTAACTTTTTCAGTTTCTAATTCACCAAGTCTCCTCTTTAATTTGGACTTCTCATTCTCGAGAGATTTTACACCAAAATGTTGATCATGGACCTTGCTTTTCAGTTTCTCTATTTCATTCAGAAGCTCTTTGTTTTCTTTCTCAAGGTTATGAATCTTGTCTTCACAACATGTATCAAGTTTTTCTTCGTTTTCCTGTGGTTTAAGTGTAATTTTAGCTGAAATGTTAAATTCTTTTACAACATCTTTATCAGCATGGCCTTCAAGATGGTGATTATCATTTGTAAAACTACCACCATGCCCAGCATTTGTTTCAAAAGACGTTGAAGTTGAAACAGACACGCCAACATCACTAGTTAACCGGCGATGTGTGGATAACTGGACTTCCCTATCAAGAGCAAGTAGTGTGCTTGCCAATTCTGCCTTCATCATCTTGTATTCCTCCAACATTCTGTCACGGTCTGTCTCGCATTCATTTTTCTCCCTTTCCATGCTATCATGAGCAATTCTAGCTTGTTTCAATTCAGATACCAGAGTGTCTTTTTCAAGAGTGGCACTCATCAGAGCTCCTTCTAGAAAACCTGCATTATCTTCAGCTTCCTTTAATTTTAGTACAACATTATGCAATTTTTGTTCCACAGACATATTATGGTCACTAATTTCTTGGAACTTACCAGTTAAGCCACTAGCTGCTGCTAGTTTAGAATCTAAACTTCGAAGTTTCTCATTCAAACACTCGCACTTCTCTTCACAGTCCTCCTCTATTCTTTTTCTTTTTATTTCTACTGACTGACATTGTTCAAATAATGCTAAATATTTTTCTCGAAGTTCATCAATGTTCTTATTTTTATTTTCAGCTTCTTCAAGAGCAGAATACATCTGTGACAGATTTTCTTGAAGAATTTGACACTCTTGTTCATACTGAGCAAGTTCGTCACATCTTTTGATCAGCTGCTCATTTTCACATCTAAGATGATAAATTTCATCCTTCTGCTCTAAGCTGCTCTTGACTTCAATTTCAATCACTGGTATTTCTGTTTTCATGACTTTGATACAGTGTTTTAATTCATCTACAAGGCTTTCTCTTTCTCTATCCCAAAACTCTATTTTGCTCTGCAGTCTTTCACAGGTTAACTCGTACTCTTCAACGAGCTTTTCGCACTTATTAAGTTCTAGTTCAATTTCCATATATCTCTGTAAGGTTTCCTGATACTGAAGATTTAGATTTTCTTTGGAATCTTTACTCTTTAATAGTTCATCTGACATGATCTTCATTTGACAATTTATAGTTTCTAATTTGTTTTCTAAATTTGCCTTCTCCTCTGACAGGTTATTCACATTTTGTAATTCCAAGGCAAGGCGATTTTCAACAGAGGATCTCTTTTCAGCTTCTACTTTCAAATTTTCATTTAGTACCACAATTTCTCTCTTGAAATTTTCTGCCATGTTCTCTACTTCCACATATTTCCTATTAAGTTCTTCTATTTTCTGTTGAAAAGCATTTCTGTTAGCACATTCCTGTTTCAGACTAAGCTGTAAATCTTTCTCTCTTCCCTTACTTCCTTCTACTACCACTTTCAATTGTTCTTTCTCTGTACTCAGTTCGTGTACTAAACGTTCAAGATTCTTAAGTTTAGCTTTTTCTCCTTCCAGCTGTTCTTTAAGACTAAGATTAAGATTATTAAGAGAATTCAGATTCTTTATAAGACTTGCATGATCTTCTTTCTGTGTTTTCTCCAAAGCATCAATTTGATGTGTTAGTTGAGAAAGCTCAGAATTATGTGAAGATTTTATTTTCAATAACTCTTCATGGTGGATTTCACTGAAACAAAAGAGAGAAATAAACATTAAATAATGAAAAAAAATAAGAATATGACTCAAGAAGAGTGAGCAGTAATGATATGGGCTGCTTAATACAGGTGCTTTCATATTTTCTCCTGACGTCTGTTGCCATTCAACAGATTCCACATATAGTACAGTACGTCTGTATCTCTCTATTGCCAGTATATTAAGATCAGACAACTGAAGTCACAAATTCTTCCATGCTATATTCACACATACACAACCTATCACTAATATTTTATGAATTTTTCAGCAATTAAGTTGTGTTAGGTGCTTTAACACTTAAAGGTGCTGTACATTTGAAATGTCTAAGGAAGATTCCATATGTGGTCACCACATCAGAGAGTTGGCAATGGGATCAGGCACTAAAGAGAGAGAATAGCAATTAAATAGACTACTGTACTGAGTTGGATTTCTTATTTATTTCACAGAGGATCATTAAATCCATAGGGTTACACAACACCTAGGGAAATGAGAGGGTATCTCCAAAACCTTGGATAAAGAGCGATTCAATGATATCCAAGCATCTCCCATTAAGGGAAGAGCTGGAGAGGTCTGGATGCAAGTTGGAAAAATGTATTGATGGAATAAGAATGTGGGAATGAGATGAAGGGGTTTTACTGAAGTTGGAGGGAAGTAATGAAGGTGTTGGAGTGAGGAATTGTTTGGAAATGAGTTGGAAGGAATGATTAGTAAAATGAATTGAACAAGTGTTTTAGAGTAGTTGGAGGGGTGAAATAAACTTGTGGGAGAGAGAAATAATTTAGGGGTGGGTATGAGGGATATGTTTGAGGTGTGTGTAAGGAGGGATTTGGAGGAAGTTGAAGAGGTGTATCTGAGGTATAAAAGGCATATGATAGAGTGGATAGAGGAGCAATGTGGCAGATGTTGCAAGTATATGGAATAGGTGGTAAGTTATTAAATGCTGTAAAGAGTTTTTATGAGGATAGTGAGGCTCAGGTTAGGGTGTGTAGAAGAGAGGGAGACTACTTCCCGGTAAAAGTAGGTCTTAGACAGGGATGTGTAATGTCACCATGGTTGTTTAATATATTTATAGATGGGGTTGTAAAGGAAGTAAATGCTAGGGTGTTCGGGAGAGGGGTGGGATTAAATTTTGGGGAATCAAATTCAAAATGGGAATTGACACAGTTACTTTTTGCTGATGATACTGTGCTTATGGGAGATTCTAAAGAAAAATTGCAAAGGTTAGTGGATGAGTTTGGGAATGTGTGTAAAGGTAGAAAGTTGAAAGTGAACATAGAAAAGAGTAAGGTGATGAGGGTGTCAAATGATTTAGATAAAGAAAAATTGGATATCAAATTGGGGAGGAGGAGTATGGAAGAATTGAATGTTTTCAGATACTTGGGAGTTGATGTGTCGCCGGATGGATTTATGAAGGATGAGGTTAATCATAGAATTGATGAAGGAAAAAAGGTGAGTGGTGCATTGAGGTATATGTGGAGTCAAAAAACGTTATCTATGGAGGCAAAGAAGGGGAATGTATGAAAGTATAGTAGTACCAACACTCTTATATGGGTGTGAAGCTTGGGTGGTAAATGCAGCAGCGAGGAGACGGTTGGAGGCAGTGGAGATGTCCTGTTTAAGGGCAATGTGTGGTGTAAATATTATGCAGAAAAATTCGGAGTGTGGAAATTAGGAAAAGGTGTGGAGTTAATAAAAGTATTAGTCAGAGGGCAGAAGAGGGGTTGTTGAGGTGGTTTGGTCATTTAGAGAGAATGGATCAAAGTAGAATGACATGGAAAGCATATAAATCTATAGGGGAAGGAAGGCGGGGTAGGGGTCGTCCTCGAAAGGGTTGGAGAGAGGGGGTAAAGGAGGTTTTGTGGGCAAGGGGCTTGGACTTCCAGCAAGCGTGCGTGAGCGTGTTAGATAGGAGTGAATGGAGACGAATGGTACTTGGGACCTGACGATCTGTTGGAGTGTGAGCAGGGTAATATTTAGTGAAGGGATTCAGGGAAACTGGTTATTTTCATATAGTCGGACTTGAGTCCTGGAAATGGGAAGTACAATGCCTGCACTTTAAAGGAGGGGTTTGGGATATTGGCAGTTTGGAGGGATATGTTGTGTATCTTTATATGTGTATGCTTCTAGACTGTTGTATTCTGAGCACCTCTGCAAAAACAGTGATAATGTGCGAGTGTGGTGAAAGTGTTGAATGATGATGAAAGTATTTTCTTTTTGGGGATTTTCTTTCTTTTTTGGGTCACCCTGCCTCGGTGGGAGACGGCCGACTTGTTGAAAAAAAAAAAAAAAAAAAAAAAAAGAATGAAGTTAGTAAAATATAGCAAATTACATGCCTTCAAATACTGCAAGAAAAAATTTAAAAACTTATTATACATGACATAGAAATGCACGTTACCAATACACAAAGAAAAATGTTTGACAGATTTAATGAGTTCAAAACATAATTAACTACTATTTCATGTAAACATTGATGTAATAGTCAAAGGTGGTGTCTTATTTCCATTATTAGTAATACAATATTAGCTTCCCCAGAATGACTCTAGAGTTACATATTAACAAGGAAAAACAAGGAACCCATTAAGGGTGCCTCTTTTCCAAAAACGTAGCTCCCAATTTGATAACTATTGGTTTTAGAGATGGAAAAAATAATTGTCAATTTATTAGATAATACATAATGCAAATATGAGCTTAGTGCTTTTTTTTATGAATTAAAACCACACATATTTATACATTATTATATTTATGGAGAAGTGCTAAATCCATAGGGATCACATGTCTGGAAAATGGGAGGCAATCAGTTTTCAACCAAGGGGAAAGTTAAATAACAAAAAAAGGCACAATACCAAGACTGGAATGATACACAAATAACCTGCACATAGAAGAGAGGAGCTTACGACGGCGTTTCTGTCTGACTTGGACCATTTACAAATGGTCCAAGTCGGACCGAAACGTCATGTGCGGGTTATTTGTGTAAAGGGAGAGTTGTATCAATTATGTACCCAGACCAAGAGTCCTTGACTAGCATCAAGAGACCCAAAATGAGGAGTATATATGTACATATGTACATGCTCTAAGAAGTAACAGTATACATTGACCCTGTATTCTTCTAGCACAGAGGTTCCCAACCTTGTCTATGCCCCATGCCCCTAGGAAATGTTTGATTAATGTTGCAACCCTTACAAAGGTAATATTACATTTGAAGATGAAGTCAAATTTCTTATTTTTAAATCACAAATTGAACCAAATATATTTCTGCAAGTGAACAAATTGAACTCAAAAATAAGCTTTTAACTGTCATCTCACACCCCTGGGGGTGCATGCACCTTAGGTTGGGAACCCCTGTTCTATCAGGAACTACATGTACTGTCACTGCCATAATAAGTGCAGTGCAGGTAGGACCCGCTTTACAGCGTTTTGCTAATGCAGTAGTTTTCATTTATACTTGTTCATTTATTCAGACTTGCTACAATAAATATATTCACCACTCACTATAAGCTAAGAACAAAAATATTTTAAAGTAATATGTGTACTGTATATGCATTTTTTTAGGCCTAGCTCTATTGCTCACTTAATATATGATAACACGTTAAACACGTTATCAGGCTTTTACATGCTTTCAAAAATGAAAAATAGGCTATGTTTCGCTTTACAGCAATTTTAGCTTTACAGAAGTAGCCCAGAACCTAACCTGCTGTACAAGTGGGGCCCACCTGTAAATTACATCCTTATATTTACTGGTTTATTATAATTTATTAGGCATAATTAGTGTGCCATTTTGTTCTTTGTGTATTAACCATATGTTTTATTGCTCCTAAAATAAACACTAACTGACCATTTCTCAGATAAGAATTTATCTATCACCGCTACAGAGGTCAAAATCAATTTAATTAGGCAGTACCTCATCTGCTGCTTCTTGGCAGTGAGCTGCTTCTCAAACTGCTCTTCAGTAGTGGCTAGCTGCACTCGATGATTTTCTTTTGTGTGTGTCAGTTCCATTGTGATTTCCTGAAGCTGCTTCATAAGATTCTGAATCTGGAAATAAAAAGAAAATGTAAAAAATTAACATAAAAAGAGAAATAAAAAAAAAAAGGGGAGGAATAAAACTGTTTTAGTGAAGAAAAAGTTGCAGAGGAACTTATTTAAAACTTTTCACCCATGGACTGAAAAAGCCTGTTCCTTTCTGCAAATATCTTTTACTACTTGTTGGCTTTGCCATTTGTCTCTAAGACAGTGTTTTGTTTTTTCTGTTTCCTCAGGAAATAACTGCACAAAATAAAGTTACACTCAGACTAGCACACAGCTATGGATAAGGGAGCGGGCAGAGATTAGGGAAAGGGGAATGTTGTGACCAAGGACATCAGATCAAGTCAAACCAGGGGATAGTTTATGTGTACCATATAGAGTAAGATATATTTAGCCAGAGATGGCACAGTCTCAAAGAAACCTGGAGATACCTGGAGAGGGTTTCGGAGGTCAATGCCCCCCACGGCCCTGTCTAAAAGTAAAGAACTGATGCCTATAAAACATGTTTCAAGAAATAAATAATAATGTGTGCAATCTGTGCTTAATTACTAAAAATATGCAACGAAAGTATTATCTATTGCAATGATATAACACTACAGTATTGCTATTATAGCACTGCATTTACTGCAGTAATACAGTGCTAACCTGTATTGTGGTCTTTTGTCAGTACTCTCTATGGAATCAATGCTGCTTTTAAGTTATGCCTATCTTTTTAAAACTCAATATTGAGTACAAATTGACATCACTATACCAAAAATAATGAAGTAAAGATGGTTTAATGGTCTTGGTAGTAATGTTGAATGTAAAGATTTTTGAGAAATCAATGAAAGCTGGAGGAACAGACATTACAAATTATAGTTTGTGTTAGTTGCAGATGCATTAAAAAAATTCTGTTTTATTTTCCTCTTACAAATTTATTACCAAGGGAAGATGAAGTGATGACTTAAATTGTAGAAAATGCTAAATATGAGAGCACTGGACAGTGAAAATGTGAGAAAGGCAGTGTTGGAGGAATTAGTGGGAAGGATACAAAGTGGAGAGGGTACATAAGCACTGCAATCATTGGTTACTGCTCCTAGGAAACACTTAATATTCCTCCCAAGCAATTATAACAAATATAGTTGAGACAACTCAGATGTGGTTAAGCAAAATTTAAATTACCTAGTTAGCTTATAAAAGAAAAATACCATAATAGTTATTCCAGATGTGATCAGAGAAATTATTATACCATATGTTATATTATAAATGTTGTGAATACGTAAAATACAGTGGACCCCCGGTTTACGATATTATTTCATTCCAGAAGTATGTTCAGGTGCCAGTACTGACCGAATTTGTTCCCATAAGGAATATTGTGAATTAGATTAGTCCATTTCAGACCCCCAAACATACACATACAAACGCACTTACATAAATACACTTACATAATTGGTCGCATTGGGAGCTGATCGTAAACCGGGGGTCCAATGTACGTACTGTGTTAATATAAAAAAAAAATTGTAAAATAAAATTAGCAATCTATTTCAATGTATGGAAACACTGTACTATGCATACAAATAATGTAGCCTAAGTACTGCACATAACAGCATTAATAATTTTCATTCAGGTGGTAAAATGGGTTTTCTGAATGCAACGTACCTTACAGTAGCTGTAAGCTACTGTAAGGTATGTCTTGCGCTGAATGACCCACATGGGTTTAGCGCTTAAAATTAATACGTATATATTTTCTCTCAGAGGGGTGGAGATATTTTAATTTTTGAACTGAAGTGTAGGCATGCCTCTGGCAAGACAGTGATGGAATGAGTGATGATGAAGGTGTTTCTTCATTCTCAGGTCACCCTGCCTTGGTTGGAGACAGCCAATGTGTTAATAAAAAAAGAAAATTCTCTTGTCATGCGGCTTTTCTCCCTTTCCTTGAATTAGATCTAAAAATACAGCTAACAAATTAACAAAAAATCTTTTTTATTAAAAAAATGTACAATCCTTTTTTAGCAAGAATTACTTACTTCGTAAGATGATTTCTCTTTAGCAATTTGTTCTCTCTGAATTATTCTCTGTGTTTCCTCCTCAACTTCTTTCAGTTTATCCTCAGCCATCTTTTCTGCAGCATTCAAATTATTTTCCAGTGCCTTGTTTTCATTTTGCAATTTTAGTAAGTCATCTTCCTTGCGCTTACACTGGTCTTCCATCATTTCTCTTTCTTTATACCACTTGGAAGACAACTCTTGTAACTCAGCATCCTGACGATTTTCTAGCTGCTGCATTCTAGTCTTAAGACCTGAGTTTTCTTCTTTTAATTTCTCAATTATGTCTTTATTTTCATTTAGTTCACAGCCCAACTTATCAGCATTTGACTTTATTTCCTGAGACTTCTGAAGAACATGTTTATACTGACACTCAAGGTGACCATATTCCTCATTTTTCTGGCTAAGCTGCCTAGTAAGTTGTTCTAGCATCTGTTGGTCTTGTGCTCTATTTTGCTGAATGTAGATCAACTGATAAAAACAGAAGAGAGTTCATAAAATATAACACCTTCAAAAGAATGATGATATAGTATTTTTAAAGTAATTACACAACACAGTACAGTAAACCCACTTATAAGGTGACCTCATATAGTGCAATTTTTTTAACATGACAAAGATTAAAAAAATTGAAAGTGTGCAGAAATTCATATTAAACACCATAAAGAGTGAAATAATCAGATAACATGCAAAATTTTGTACTATCTGCTATAGGTTTCTATAGAATCAAGTTATATGCAAAATCTAGACATTATGTGCCACAGAATTTTCCCCTTCCAACCCATATTAGACCTAATACAGATAGAAAAATAAAAATTAAAATAAGATAAATAATGCACACAAAGACACAAACATTCAGTATCTGAAACATTAAACAACATCAAAGGGCCAAATTAAACAACAGCATAATACAATACCGTCAGTATTAAACTTCTTTTACGAGACAATTTCAAATAGTGTCAGATATTAAAGTTTCTTTTACATAGGCCATTTCCTACAATAGATGGGCGATCCAAAAAGAAAATTTATAAATCCTTCAATACTTATAGCAGTATATAGACACCATACCTTATTTTTTAGCTGCAGATGTTCATGTTGACTTATCCCAGATGACCAGTTCTTATTTAACAGACTGTCAGTAGTCTCTTTCAGCTGCATCTTTAAAGTTTCAATTTCTCTTGCAGATGTTTCAGTCTGCTGGAGGACATCTGCTTGCAAGTCATCTTGATTCTGTATACATTCAGCTAGTCTTGTCTGCAGCTTGCCTATCATCTGATCCCGCTGGTTAACAGCACCCTGGAATTCTTGAATCTGCAGCAAAGAAACTTTCTATATACACACAGATCATATTGGCTATGGAATAAAAATTATTAGTGTTAACTGCTTTTCATACAACTAAATAAGTGGTGAAGATATTGCACAACACACTAAATGATGAACATTAGGACAAGCTAAAGTGCATCATGACTTGTTCAATCACTACAAAGTGGTGACTGAACAAATCATTGGTGATTTAAAGAGTTATCCAGAATGACTTATTGGATCTGTAAGAGGCAAAACCCTAGCATGAGCCCAAACACATTTAACTGTAAGAAGCAACATTTATACCTGCCCAAAGCATTTACACAGACAAGCATGAAGAAACTAACTTTAGCCTCTTTGGTCTGGGATGCCACTCTCACTCTGTACTAATGAGTATGTAATGAAAGACTTTTTCAAAAATAGACTTCTTCACTTGTAGTGTATATCTGCGTGAGAGCAAGATTTTACCAGCTTCGAAAAAATAATAATGGGCATTACTTGATAGCAGCCTTTGTATTGGCAGACAAATTTTTGCAACAGGTGTTTATATAACAAACATCACATCTAAACTTGACTTATGTAACCAGCTAGCAAAGTAACAAGTTCATTAGTCTTTGTAGCAGCACAAATACATTCACAGAACACTAAACCCATGAGGGGCATACAATGCACATCGTAATACGAGGCTATAATGTTCAGTCTAAGGAAGGGGAGGTTAGGTCCAATTCCTTAGATCAAGACCCATTCTCAACCTGCAATGATGCAGATATAGGAATAATTTCACTAGGTACTTCCAGAACCCCTCATGAACTTCATTAAGGTTACCTAAGCTAGAACCATGCATAATTTACACTGAGACAGAATTCCAAGAGCACTGCTTGCTACTTCTCTATACAACAGTACTGTATAGTCCTTGTGGCTTAGCGCTTCTTTTTTATTATAATAATAATAATAATCTATACAACAGTACTGTATATCATAAATGGAGAATAATCCCACATCATAGCAGTTACTAATATTTTTCACTGCAAAACTGAACAAGCTTCATTATTAAGCAAAACATTTTTAGTTTGCTACACCAGCAATACTGTATTACATACAGAACTGGGTAGATCTAATTGGTAACCACCGAGAGAGGAAAAAATGTGGAAAATGCCAAGGAAATGGCTGAGGAAACACTGTCGCACTGGAACTACAATTAATTGTTCCCAATTAGAGTAATTAGTCGGACATCAGGACAGCATCAGTATTTTGAAATTTTTGCATTTTTTAGCATTGCTGATATTCAAAATGTGGACTTATCGACATCCTTCTGTATTATCATTATGACTTCTACTACAGTTCTATACTTCTACCATTATAATGTGCAAGTCAGCATCTCACATCAATGTCTCATGCACTGACCTGCTAATAGTATATCAACAGTTGTACTGTATTAATAGGTATTAGTATAGCATATTAAATATATCTGACACACAAACTATTTATCCAATAGAGACAGAGGCTGAGAATTTTTTTTTGTGTGTGTGTAATAATACAGTGCTAAACAGAGTACAGTACTTTGGGTTATTTAAAAAAAAATGCCAACAAACCTTTGCTTTGTACTTCTCTATGACTGTCTTTGAATTGGACGAGGAAACAGTATTTTGGATCTTCAATTTGTAGTTTTCATTCTGAAGAGCTTCAATTGTTTGCTGATGTGCTGTGCATGAAGGCAAAAAAAAAAAAACAGTATGATTGTTTGATTTTTATACACTACCACATTAATATTTTTAAATATCCACACAGCATATACTTGAAGACACAAATGGTCCAAGAATATGTATAAAGGTACACAAATTTGCAGAGAAAGTTTTGCCTGTGGAGAAAGTGAAACCACCTTTAAGTTCCTATTTGCAAATTGTGCCTTCCTTTATAGTATATATTTAAATTGAAAAAATTGTCTAGTTTCTTAAATAGTTTCTACAGCAGATTACACACAATATAAAAAATTTAATTAAAATAGTGTACTAAACTGAAGTAAAATATCAAACAATGCCATTCACAAAATTAAAAGTATGACCAAATTTACTGTAGTTTAACATTATAAAAACAATTTTGGACATAAATATAATGTAGGTAATGAATAAAATACTGTAACAGATTGTCAAGATTTGCACAAGCAGAGAACTGAACTAACAAAATAAAGAGAGGTAAATGTAAATGTAATAAGTATTCCAGTATAAAATACTGAAATACTTGTACAGGTCAGCCATCACTAATCCAGCATCATTGGGACCTGTAGTGTGCCAGATTTGTGAGTTTGCCGAATTACAGTGATTAGGTTAGAATACACTACACTTAATTAACCTATCAATAGACTCTGCTACATCTTCCTCATTTTCATCACTCCTTTCTCTTCCACTGGCTTGCTGCTGTGGATTTACAACCATCTGCACAATTTGTGAGTCACTATAATGATGAAATCTGAAATTATGCTAGCCGAAATTAGTGCCGGATTACTGGAACCAAATGACTGACTGCCGGATTAGTGATGGCCGACCTGCACTGTATTAATGTCCCTCTATACTCACAATATATTTCATCTTGTACTTGGTCTCCGGATGACTGGATGGCTTCCTCAGCTCCAGTGACAATACCTTCCTCCCAATTCATCTGAGTTGACAGTTTTTTTTAAGTTTAAGGAGCATAAATATTTAAATAATTATTTTTTTTACTAAATTATGTTCCACTGTATATAAAAGGTACAAAACTATAATGGCCTTTAGTATCAGTCACATCCTCCCTCACGACACTCTCGTACTAACTCGCATCATCTCGCTTTATCAGTCATTGAATGACCATAGCATTCTCCATAAAAGATAATGTCATTGTAAAAAGCTTAATCTTCTTAGCTCACTTTGAAGGGTGTAATGCCAACAATGTTTCACTCAAAACAGAGCCTTCTAAAGTCATGGTTTTAAAAGCAAAATGTTGTTCAATTAAACACTTGGTATGCATACTTGTGTCTTTATCCATGATGTTTAAGGTTGAATGAGCTTGTGTTTAATCAGCTAAAATCCAAGTACTGTATTTTGAGACTTGATACCAATATCAGACATCATAGCAAATGTTAACTTCCATAATTATTTCAGTAACCTACTCATAACAAATAAATACAGTGGACCCCCGCTTTACGATCAGCTCCCAATGCGACCAATTATGTAAGTGTATTTATGTAAGTGCATTTATACGTGTATGTTTGGGGGGTCTGAAATGGACTAATCTAATTCATAATATTCCTTATGGGAACAAATTCGTTCAGCACTGGCACCTGAACATACTTCTGGAATGAAATAATATCATAAGGCGGAGGTCCACTGTACTGAAGTCTTAGGAAGAATACTCCTGAAAACAGTATACCCTGTTATCACGTAATTGCTACTACTGTACATGAAAGAACATAAGAAAGGAGGAACACTGCAGCAGGCCAACAGGCTTGCTGCAGTGTTCCTCCTTTCTTATGTTCTTATGTAATGGAGGAGGGACACTGAAACATGCCTTCTCAAATCCATCCTTATACATTTGCCCAACCTATTTTTTATGCTACCCAAGCCATAGCTTTTGTATTTTCTTTCTCATGTACCAGCTGACTTTTCCACATGTATAACTACTACTACTACTTCTACTTGTACTACACCTCACTCAGCCTATATATACCCTCCGTGTCCATGTATTGTTTGTAACGGCTTAACAAAGCTCCTGGAGAGCTAAACGTTGCCACAATAAAATGCCCCATTAGTTACATTTGTGTCCTTTTACTTAACCCTTTCAGGGTTTCGGACGTACTAATACGGCTTACACACCAGGGTTTTTAACGTACTAGTACGTCTAAATTCTAGCGCCTTCAAATCTAGTGAAAGCTGGTAGGCCTACATATGAAAGAATGGGTCTATGTGGTCAGTGTGCGCAGTATAAAAAATATCATGCAGCACACAGTGTGTAATGAGAAAAAAAAAATTGACCGTGTTTTTGGATTAAAACAGCAACTTTGCACTGTATTTTTGTATGGTATTTATTGTTGTCTTCTAGTTTTCCTGGTCTCATTTTATAGAATGGAAGACATATTGACATATTACAGAAATTGAGATGATTTTGACTGGTTTTACAATGAAAAGTACCTTGAAATTGCGCTCAAATTAGCAAAAATGTTCGATTTTTACCAAAGTTCAAAAGTAAACAAATCATGCCAAGCGTCCAATACACGTCAACTGGCGAATCTAATATTCTTTCACAAGTGTGCCGATATTATTTATACCATTTCTACACTAATGCAGTAGTCTGCATAACAGTAAATCTTCTATTTTTTGTGAGAATAAAAACTCAAAGTGGAAAGCAAAAGAATGTAAGAGGGGTGTGGGAACGTGAATAATGAACAGAGGAAATGTTGTTTTAGTGCCAGGAATGTCTTTTTTGTTTATTCTGGACCCTATTTGGAAATTGGTATCTTTTGAAATTTGTGTGAAATTGGCAAAATTGTTAAATTCTGACCACTGTATTGGATAGTTTAAATCGGTAAATGGGTGGTTTCTTGTACTCATTCGATAAAAAAAAATGGAGTTCTAGTGAAATAGTTATGATTTTTGTTGACTAGTACACTGGAATTGGCCAAAAATAGATCTGAAAGTGGGCAAAATCGCCGATGCGTAAACATCGTCGAGACCACTAATTTTGTGAGAGCATAATTTCGTAAGTTTTCCATCAAATTTCATACTTTTGGTGCCATTATGATCGAGAAAAGATTCTCTATCTTTTCATCATAAGAACAAAATAATTTTTTTTTGAAATTTGGGCGACCCTGAGAACAAGTCTGGAAGAGGGCCTGGGGACCCTGAAAGGGTTAACATAATTGTATTTACATGTACCTGGAGTATACCTAGAGGGTGTTATAGAGTCAACATCCCTATGACCCAGCACATGACCAGGCCTCATGGTGGGTCAGGGCTTGTTACTGCTGGCATCTTAAGTCAGGTACGAACTTTAGATGCCTGTCCAGCTCCCTCTTGAAGACAGCCTGGGGTCTATTGGCAATCCCTTTTATGTACGCTGGGAGGCAGATGAACAGTCTTGGGCCCCTGACACTTACTGTGTTGTCTCTTAGCATACTCATGACACTCTTGATTTTCATTGGAGGGATGTTTCACCACCTGCCGAGTCTAATGCTTTCATAGGGAATGATTTTTGTGTGCAAATTTGGGACTAGTTCCTCTAGGATTTTCCAAGTGTATATTATGATGCATCTCTCTCGCCTGTGTTCCAAAGAGTACAGGTCAAGGAACGTCAACTATTCCCAGTAATTTAGGTGCTTTATGGTACTTATACTTGCAGTGAAAGTTATCTGTACAATCTCCAGGTCTGTAGTTTTGCCTGCCTTGAAAGGGGCCATTAGTGTACAGCAGTATTCTATCCTAGAGAAAACATGCAATTTGAAGAGAATCATCATAGGCTTGGTGGCCTTAGTTTTCAAGGTTTCATTATCCATCCTGTCATTTTCCTAGCAGATGTAGTACAGACATTGTTGTGATCTTTGAAAGTGAGATTCTCTGACTTTATCACTCCCAGGTCCTTCACATCAGAGGCGTCGTAAGGGGGGGGGGCTGCCCCGGGTGACACCATTTAGGGGGTGACACCATAGAGCCTCTAAAGAAGGTGATGCTAATGTACAAAACAGTGCTGCACCAACATAAGAGAAGAATCCTTCATTTCTATATAGCCTATTATATATTAACAAAGTACAAATAAGCCTATATAGGGAAAATCATTGATTTTGATGATATGATAGAGGATTTTGCATAATTGAAGGCAAGAAAATGTAAGATCAGATTCACTGAGATGTTACCTGTACACAAGGTCAAATGTAAGATCAGATTCACTGAGATGTTACCTGTATTTAAGGTCAAATGTAAGATCAGATTCACCGAGATGTTACCTGTACTCAAGGTCAAATCGGAACTAGTGTTTATCTGATATTGCAATGTTTTTCTTTATTTTTCAAGTTTTTTTTTTTTTTTTTCATTGTTGAAGCTGAATAAATGTAGGATCTGTTGCCTGTACTCAAAGTGGTATTTGAGTTTATGTTTCCTCAATATTCCTCAATATTCTCCTGTTTGGTTAAATGACTCTTAAATGTTCTCTTTGCTAAACATTAGTCACTCACTGGTCATACAGTAGTGACATAATTGGAGTTTACCCCCCCATCCCCCTGTCCTTGAATTTCATGGGGGTGACGCCAAAGATACCGCCCCGGGTGACACCAGAGATTCTGCCCCGGGTGACACCAGAGATTCCGCCCCGGGTGACACCAACTCTAGCGACGCCTCTGCTTCACATTACTTTCTCGCTCAATTGTGTGGTTGGAATTTGTTTAATACTCCAATACAATTTTTATTTCCTCGAATTTTCCATAGGGGAGTAATTTAAACACGTCTTCACTGAATTTCACATTGTTTTCTGAGGCTCATTTAAAGACTTGGTGAATGTCCACAGGAGACTTACAGTGTCCTTGGTGGATGGCACTGTCATGCAAATTATTTATTTTATTTGGTCCTTGAGAGATAAGTAAGCTTATTTGGCCACAGGTAAATAAGCAAGTTTATTCAGGTATACCTGGAGTTTACCTGGAGAGAGTTCTGGGGGTTAACGCTCCCGCGGCCCGGTCTGTGACCAGGCCTCCTGGTGGATCAGAGCCTGATCAACCAGGCTGTTATTGCTGGCTGCACGCAATCCAACGTACGAGCCACAGCCCGGCTGGTCAGGTACCAACTTTAGGTGCTTGTCCAGTGCCTGCTTGAAGACTGCCAGGGGTCTATTGGTAATCCCCCTTATGTATGCTGGGAGGCACTTGAACAGTCTCGGGCCCCTGACACTTACTGTATTGTCTCTTAACGTGCTAGTGACATCCCTGCTTTTCATTGGGAGGATGTTGCATCGTCTGCCGAGTCTTTTGTTTTCGTTGTGAGTGATTTTCGTGTGCAAGTTCAGTACTAGTCCCTCTAGGATTTTCCAGGTGTATATAATCATGTATCTCTCCCGCCTGCGCTCCAGGGAATACAGGTTCAGGAACTTCAAGCGCTCCCAGTAATTGAGGTGTTTTATCTCCATTATGCGCACCGTGAAGGTTCTCTGTACATTTTCTAGGCCAGCAATTTCACCTGCCTTGAAAGGTGCTGTTAGTGTGCAGCAATATTCCAGCCTAGATAGAACAAGCGACCTGAAGTGTGTCATCATGGGCTTGGCATCCCTAGTTTTGAAGGTTCTCATTATCCATCCTGTCATTTTTCTAGTAGATGCGATTGATACAATGTTATGGTCCTTGAAGGGGAGATCCTCCGACATGATCACTCTCAGGTCTTTGACGTTGATTTTTCGCTCTATTTTGTGGAAGGAATGTTTTATACTCTGATGAAGTTTTAATTTCCTCATGTTAACCATATCGGAGTAATTGAAATTTCTCATCGTTGAACTTCATATTGTTTTCTGCAGCCCATTGAAAGATTTGGTTGATGTCCGCCTGGAGCCTTGCAGTGTCTGCAATGGAAGACACTGTCATGCAGATTCGGGTGTCATCTGCAAAGGAAGACACGGTGCTGTGGCTGATATCCTTGTCTATGTCAGATATGAGGATGAGGAACAAGATGGGAGCGAGTACTGTGCCTTGTGGAGCAGAGCTTTTCACCGTAGCCGCCTCGGACTTTACTCTGTTGACTACTACTCTGTGTTCTGTTTGTGAGGAAATTATAGATCCATCGACCGACTTTTCCTGTTATTCCTTTAGCACGCATTTTGTGTGCTATTACGCCATGGTCACACTTGTCGAAGGCTTTTGCAAAGTCTGTATATATTACATCTGCATTCTTTTTGTCTTCTAGTGCATCTAGGACCTTGTCGTAGTGATCCAGTAGCTGAGACAGACAGGAGCGACCTGTTCTAAACCCATGTTGCCCTGGGTTGTGTAACTGATGGGTTTCTAGATGGGTGGTGATCTTGCTTCTTAGGACCCTTTCAAAGATTTTTATGATATGGGATGTTAGTGCTATTGGTCTGTAGTTCTTTGCTGTTGCTTTACTGCCTCCTTTGTGGAGTGGGGCTATGTCTGTTGTTTTTAGTAACTGTGGGACGACCCCCGTGTCCATGCTCCCTCTCCATAGGATGGTAAAGGCTCGTGATAGGGGCTTCTTGCAGTTCTTGATGAACACAGAGTTCCATGAGTCTGGCCCTGGGGCAGAGTGCATGGGCATGTCATTTATCGCCTGTTCGAAGTCATTTGGCGTCAGGATAACATCGGATAGGCTTGTGTTAACCAAATTTTGTGGCTCTCTTATAAAAAATTTATTTTGATCTTCGACTCTCAGTCTGGTTAGCGGCTTGCTAAAAACTGAGTCATATTGGGACTTGAGTAGCTCACTCATTTCCTTGCTGTCATCTGTGTAATTATCATACATAGCAGCATATGTGTAGAGAACCTGGGATAACCCAAAAAAAAAAGCAGATTATTACTTTTATGGTGATTATGATTATAATCATGGGGAAGTGCTAAACCCGTAGGATTATACAGTGCCTGTGGGGGGAGGATGGAAGGTATTCAGGCTCAATTCAGGGAACTGCAGCACAGACCCAATTCCCTAGATCAAGAGCCCCTCACCAGTGTCAAGGAACCTCCCTTGAGGGGACTTTTATGGGGAAAGTGATAAACCCGTTGGGGTCACGTAACGCCTGGTGGACTGGAAGGAATTAACACTAAAAAAGGGAGTCAGCCCAACTCCATGAGCCCACAAGAGGCACCTAGAAATAGGCCGCTGTCTTGACAGTAGGCCTACCCACTCACCCCAAAATAGGCGCAAGTGACACCAACTCCCCCCCCCCATAAAAAACCACCTCAAACTCCAAAATTTAAAGAGCACAGCTGGTATTTATGTTACCTGTGGCTTCCCTCCCTCCTGGTACTCCCTCCCAGCTGCAGTATCCATCACAATAAGTATAATAAGCAGGTAGACATGACTAAATACACCAGCCAGTCGTCCCCCTCCAAGTATTTGTTGACTTGTCTCTCCACACACAACTACATCTTTTTAAATTATAATATATCAACTTTTCTTATTATTATATTTTTCTTATTATATATTTATTTAACTAATTCTTATTTTATTGTTATTAAGTAGAAGTAATATAATTTAAATTATAATAGAACTATATTTTGAATTTTTTTCTTATATTTTCGTTCATCGTTATAATTCAATGAATTATTTAAAAAAATATATTGCTTATAATATATTAATATATAAATAAGAAAATTCACTGAGGATCAACAAAAATTGTAAGAGAAATAATAATAAAGAGTAAAAATAAATAGAAATTTTGCGAGGCTAAATAATGACAAATACAAATAAAGGCAAACTGAAAAAAAACAGGAAACAGAACGATAAATTTAGAAAAAAAATAAGAAAGTGGCCCTAAACAATTAATATTATGAAGACCCACAAAAAATATTGTTATATAATATATCATAGACGTTAATATAAAGAAAAAGACACATAAAAATACTGGGAATTTGAAAATGGGATGATTTAGTTTATGTGATGGACATTATAACTGTTGCAAGTAGTTGTTATTTTGTCATATAAAGTTTTTAATTATTTTATTTTCGTACATATATATATATATCCATAGTAATCTAAATAAATTACAATGAAACCACTAATAATTACATTTTAAAACTAATAAATAGAACCTTTTATATACTTACAATTTAGTAACAGATTCTCTCTCTCTCTCTCTCTCTCTCTCTCTCTCTCTCTCTTCTCTCTCTCTCTCTCTCTCTCTCTCTCTCCTCTCTCTCTCTCTCTCTCTCTCTCTCTCTCTCTCTCCTCTCTCCTCTCTCTCTCTCTCTCTCTCTCTCTCTCTCTCTCTCTCTCTCTCTTCATATATATATATATTATATATATATATATATATATAATATATATATATATATATATATATATATATATATATATATATATATATATATATATATATATATATATATATATGTATATATATATATGTCGTGCCGAATATGTAAAACTGGTCAATTAGCAACAACTCATTTAAAATTAAGTCCTTTCTAAAATTTTCTCTTATACGTTTAAAGATATATTTTTTTCAATAATGTTAATGCAAAAAATTATAATTTTGCTCCAAAAGAATCTTAGAAAACTTACCTAACCTTATTATAACAAGAACAATTTATTTTAACCTAACCCAACTAAATATATTTTAGATTTGTTTACAATAATTTAATACTAAACAAACTCAGTGAAATAATTTTTTTTCGTTAGGTTCAGAATGATTTTGGCGAAATTATTGCATACACAAATTTTCACTTGTCCTATATGGCAAGATGAGCGTTGCTATTTAAGCCAAGATGGCAAGTTCTGCCTATTCGGCACGACATATATATATATACAAAACAACCACTCTGAAAAAATAGAGAAATTCCAAGCGCTTTCGTGACTACTCACATTATCAAGGAACTATGAAAGTAAAGCATCCAAGGAAGCTATATAAGGGGTCTGGCCAGCACCTCACTATCAGATCCCACAACGGGTGCTGGCCTGACCCCTTATATAGCTTCCTTGGATGCTTTACTTTCATAGTTCCTTGATAATGTGAGTAGTCACGAAAGCGCTTGGAATTTCTCTATTTTTTCAGAGTGGTTGTTTTGCATATTCCGAAATCACCTGTTTACTGTGATCTTATTGCATATATATATATATATATAATATATATATATATATATATATATATATATATATATATATATATATATATATACATATATATATATATCAATAACAACACTGCGCTAGCCAAGGATTCGAACCCACGTTGTAGTGGCCTGCCTCATGGTAAGCGAGAACCACATGCCTACAGTGCCTATCAGTGCCAACTGCAAGCTTTTAGTGTACACACATGATAATGCTTTGTTAATATCAGGTAAAGACCCACAAGACATTGCTAATGCCCCATCACTAGAACCAGAGTCCTGTAGTAAATGGTTAGTAGACAACCAGCTATCACTACACCTCGGAAAAACGGCAGCCATACTCTTTGGCTCAAAACATAAATTGAAAAGGGTGAATCATTTTAACGTCCAGTGTATTGGGGAATCCATTATTACAGTAAATTCAGTGAAATACCTGGTAATCCCCTTTGACCCAAGCATGTCAGGAGAAGTAACAGGGAACAATGTTGTAAAGAAAGCGAATGCCAGACTAAAGTTCCTCTACATACTAAAGTTCCTCTACAGACCAAAGTTCCTCTACAGACCAAAGTTTCTCTACAGACCAAAGTTTCTCTACAGACCAAAGTTTCTCTACAGACCAAAGTTTCTCTACAGACCAAAGTTCCTCTACAGACCAAAGTTCCTCTACAGACCAAAGTTCCTCTACAGACCAAAGTTTCTCTACAGACCAAAGTTTCTCTACAGACCAAAGTTTCTCTACAGACCAAAGTTTCTCTACAGACCAAAGTTCCTCTACAGACCAAAGTTTCTCTACAGACCAAAGTTTCTCTACAGACCAAAGTTTCTCTACAGACCAAAGTTTCTCTACAGACCAAAGTTTCTCTACAGACCAAAGTTTCTCTACAGACCAAAGTTTCTCTAGAGACCAAAGTTTCTCTACAGACCAAAGTTTCTCTACAGACCAAAGTTTCTCTACAGACCAAAGTTTCTCTACAGACCAAAGTTTCTCTACAGACCAAAGTTTCTCTACAGACCAAAGTTTCTCTAGAGACCAAAGTTTCTCTACAGACCAAAGTTTCTCTACAGACCAAAGTTTCTCTACAGACCAAAGTTTCTCTACAGACCAAAGTTTCTCTAGAGACCAAAGTTTCTCTACAGACCAAAGTTCCTCTACAGACTAAAGTTTCTCTACAGACCAAAGTTTCTCTACAGACCAAAGTTTCTCTACAGACCAAAGTTTCTCTACAGACCAAAGTTTCTCTACAGACCAAAGTTCCTCTACAGACTAAAGTTTCTCTACAGACCAAAGTTCCTCTACAGACTAAAGTTTCTCTACAGACCAAAGTTTCTCTACAGACCAAAGTTTCTCTACAGACCAAAGTTTCTCTACAGACCAAAGTTTCTATACAGACCAAAGTTCCTCTACAGACTAAAGTTTCTCTACAGACCAAAGTTTCTCTACAGACCAAAGTTTCTCTACAGACCAAAGTTTCTCTACAGACCAAAGTTTCTCTACAGACCAAAGTTTCTCTACAGACCAAAGTTTCTCTACAGACCAAAGTTCCTCTACAGACCAAAGTTCCTCTACAGACCAAAGTTCCTCTACAGACCAAAGTTTCTCTAGAGACCAAAGTTTCTCTACAGACCAAAGTTCCTCTACAGACTAAAGTTTCTCTACAGACCAAAGTTTCTCTACAGACCAAAGTTTCTCTACAGACCAAAGTTTCTCTACAGACCAAAGTTTCTCTACAGACCAAAGTTTCTCTACAGACCAAAGTTCCTCTACAGACTAAAGTTTCTCTACAGACCAAAGTTTCTCTACAGACCAAAGTTTCTCTACAGACCAAAGTTCCTCTACAGACTAAAGTTTCTCTACAGACCAAAGTTTCTCTACAGACCAAAGTTTCTCTACAGACCAAAGTTTCTCTACAGACCAAAGTTTCTCTACAGACCAAAGTTTCTCTACAGACCAAAGTTTCTCTACAGACCAAAGTTCCTCTACAGACCAAAGTTTCTCTACAGACCAAAGTTTCTCTACAGACCAAAGTTCCTCTACAGACTAAAGTTTCTCTACAGACCAAAGTTTCTCTACAGACCAAAGTTCCTCTACAGACTAAAGTTTCTCTACAGACCAAAGTTTCTCTACAGACCAAAGTTTCTCTACAGACCAAAGTTTCTCTACAGACCAAAGTTTCTCTACAGACCAAAGTTCCTCTACAGACTAAAGTTTATCTACAGACCAAAGTTTCTCTACAGACCAAAGTTTCTCTACAGACCAAAGTTCCTCTACAGACTAAAGTTTCTCTACAGACCAAAGTTTCTCTACAGACCAAAGTTTCTCTACAGACCAAAGTTTCTCTACAGACCAAAGTTTCTCTACAGACCAAAGTTTCTCTACAGACCAAAGTTTCTCTACAGACCAAAGTTCCTCTACAGACCAAAGTTTCTCTACAGACCAAAGTTTCTCTACAGACCAAAGTTCCTCTACAGACTAAAGTTTCTCTACAGACCAAAGTTTCTCTACAGACCAAAGTTTCTCTACAGACCAAAGTTTCTCTACAGACCAAAGTTCCTCTACAGACGTTGTATGACCCTGTTAGGCTTAGCGCTTCTTTTTAATAATAATAATAATAATAATAATAATAATAATAATAATAATAATAATAATAATAATAATAATAATAATAATAATAATAATAATAATAATAATAATAATTCATCAGACAGGCGCAGTGTCTACCAACTGAGGCTCATAGGACCCTATTAGTCTAGCTCTTATACAATGTATTATAGGCCACTCTTGCTCTTCATGGAACTCTGCCTTAGCAAAAAAACTGAAAGACAGAGTATAAATCAGCCAGAACAAAATGGTGAGATTCATCCTGGACCAGGTTCCTGGAGAACATGTAAGCCAGGATGAATTACAACTGGATATGTTGAATGTTGAAGACAGAGTAAATCAACTAAAGCTAAATTACGTTTATAAAATTGCTCACAACCAGTGTCTCCAGTATCTTACTGCTAATTTTGTTAAGGTCGGAAACTAAAGCAATTACAAACCTAAGGGAAGGGAGAAGAACTTTGCAATACCTACAGTCAGTGGTCAGTCTTCAAAGACTTTTCTGTACTTCAGTAAAAGAGTGGAATAGACTGCCTGCACATGTCAAAGCCTGTCATAGCATTAGCCAGTTCAAGAAGAGAACTAAAATATACCTCATGAATAAGGATACAGAAAGTGAGGAGAGTGATTTCTCGTATGAAAATAACTAATTTTACCGCTCCACTAGTACATCTTCTTTTATTGTAACTGATTTTACATAGTTAAGAAACTTACCTGTTTTTAATTTGTAATTATAAATAATAATTATCACAAGGACTCCTAATGAAAATAAATGACTCTGTCTGACTTTACTGGGTTATCCTAGGTTCTCCACACATATGCTGCTGTGTATGATAATCTAGGGTTCTGGTGGCCTGGTGGCTATAGCTCTCGCTTCACAGGGCGAGGTTCTGGGTTCGATTCCCAGCCAGGGTAGAAACATTGGGTGCATTTCTTTACACCTGTTGTCTATGTTCACCCATCAGTAAAATGGGTACCTGGGAGTTAATGGACTGGTGTGGGTCGCATCCTGGGACAAAACTGACCTAATTTGAGGGAAATGCTCAGCATAACAAAGGTTTCTATAGTAGTTTCATGATGTCAGCTATAGCTGTACCTGTTATGTACTGTAGTAAATAAAGATGTTTTCTACATAGGGAAGCTGGCTCGATCAGCTAAGTTTAGTAACCTTTCCATTGTACTGGTGGTTAAATAACAATAATTAACTGCATTACTTATATAATTATACATAAATGTGGTGATTACAGAGTAACGACTAGAGACTTTAATAAAAATATAACAAAATATGTCTAACGTGGTGGCTTAAAAATAATTAATTAATAATACCCTGGAACAATGACACTATTTATATTTTTTTATGCATTTCAAAATGTTGTGATTAATGAAATGTAGACTGTATTTTAGTGAACCGTAACTTTGAATAAAATTAATTATAACCATGAGAGTAGCTGATGAAACGAAGGTGAAGGTTTTAAATAATAATTCCATAACCCCGAGGTAGCCACCAATAAGAAATAAGTGATCGAGCTTTTTATTTTTTTTTTATTTTTTGTCATCCCAGGTTGCACCCACCCCATTTGCTGCAGTATATTTCATCTATGTGAACAGGAATATGTGTAAACTGTCCGAAATTTTTAAACCCTTGTGGATGAGGTCGTCTGTGAAGCGGGGTAGCCACAGCCACGGCACTGGAGCTATCCTCCTCTTCCTTGGATCAGATCTAATTGCCAATATAAAATATACATTTCTTGTGTTTTTATTTAGATTAGTGTTATAAAAATATAAGTAATTTGCATTCATAATGATTTGGATATTTCCACAAGTCCTCAAACTAATTTAGTTCCCTCTAAAGTTTCTTGTAAGTTTATTCAGGTACAGTTACACATAAATACAGTTACATAAATTATCATACAAAGCAGCATTGCGTAAATTACCTGGGATAACCCAAAAAAAGTCAAAGTGATTTATTTCCATTGGGGTCTTGATCTTCCATCATAGCAGATGGACAATCGAGTTGTCTCCATTTTTTTACAAAAAAATGACTCGTACATAAATTCTGTATGATATTATTATGTAAATATAGTAGGTCAATAATATTTTGTTTTCCAGGCTGCACCATTCCAGTCGTTCACCTTCGTATAGTACATGATCGTGGCTTCCACAAATATGCTTGTGATTTCTGCCGGAAGAGTTTTGATACTTCTGAAGCTCTGTCTCAGCATGTGAATTACAGCCATACATCTTTAAATATACAAGAAGTCTACATTTGTCCAAGTTGTCGGTGTTGTGTTTTAAGTCATAATGACCTACTTGATCATCTTTCTCTCAGACATCATGTGAGATTTGTGGTGTACCATGTATTTTATTTTTTCATGTATTTACTGTAATTATATCTGAAAAGCACATATTAATGAGTAAATGATAAATTAAACAGATGTGCAGCACTTAGATACCCAAGTGTTGCACATGTGTCTAATTTATCAACTTGCCAGCTTCTCTGAACCATTTATCTATATTAATGAATAAATGTATAATAACTACACTTATACAGTACAATACTGATATATCTGATTTCATTTCAGGTACAGATAGTAACAGAGAAGATTCGACCCTTTGTGAATATTGTGGATTAAAATTAACCAGTCAACAATGTCTGCTGGATCACGTCGCAGTCACTCACTGTTCAGGGGTGACTGAATCATCTTTTATTGGTATTGTTGAACTGAGCATCAAAGATATCTCTAATATGGGGATGGGAAACCCTGATTGTAAAACACTTTTCCAAGTTATTGAAGTTTCATTAGTGAAATATAAAGAGAATTTACCAGACTCAGTCAAAATAATTAATGAAGATAAATGTGTTAAAAATGACAGTTTAATAACAAGAAATGAAGACATGAATATAGTTTTTGAAAATACATTGCAACAATGTAATGGAAATATTAATGTTAAATCTCCCAAAGAAAGTGAATCCTCAGCTTCTCTGACAAGAACAGTTGATGGATATACAAACACGTGTAGTAACTCTTTCAATGAGCTCATTTCTGAAACAAATCTGCAAGATTGTGAATCTCAACTAGAAATGACAATTTGCTGTGACACAGATGAAAAGCCATTTGTAGCCTGTTCACCAGGAGAAATTATATTGACTGTAGAAAGTGAGGAGGAATTAGTATGGAGTCAAGACGTCATGTCACAAGTGATCTGTTCGAGTGGAATACTGAATAGGACACAAGGATCCATTGCTACTGAGGGAAATGGTCTAGTTACTAAAAATGCCACAATGCAGCAGGCAACGAATGACTGGAATGCCGATTGTTCAGTGGAAGTAAAACGCCTGACTCAAGAACAACAGCCGCATTCTGCACAGTTGCTTGACCCAAGTATAGAATCTCTGAAATCTAGTATACATATAAGACAAAGATTATTTAAATACAGTAAACCCTTCAGTATAACAGAATAATAGAGGGATTATCTGAATATCCATTAAATCAGAATAATGCTAAAAAAAATAATTGCCCAAAAAATGCACTACAGTACTGTACACACAATTTATAGATATATATTGCAATAAACAGTGGAAATAAAGGAATTAAAAGTATAATTCAACCAATAGATTTTCCCATAATTTTTAAAGGTTTACTGTAATTATGATCAAGAAATTAACTACTTTTAACGCTGTTAATTCTGAATCTTATTATACTAGATTGAGAGCATTTACATTTATGTTATTTCTTTCAATTTACAGCTGTATGGTGATAGGGCATTATATTACCTGGGTATCTTAAATTTTGATGTACATTAAATAATGACAAGAGCTCAATTGTAGAGGACTGAACATAGGCATAATGCTTTACTGGAATGAGTTTAACATTTATATAGTACTGTCATGCACTGAAGAGTATATTACAATGGAAATTGATTCATTTAACTTCAAATTCATTATTCATCATATCCAAGTCAGTAATATTTGTATGATGGGGATATTATTGCTTGATATGTTAATGGTGTTAATGTTGCAGTTTAAAAACTGTAGTGTAAAGCACCCTTCTGGAAAGACAGTGATGGAGTGAATGATGGTGAAAGTTTTTCTTTTTCGGGCCACCCTGCCTTGGTGGGAATCGGCCAGTGTGTTAATAATAATAAAAAATAATAATAATTATTGCTTGATGTGGTTGAAAATATATGAGTGAATATTTGGGATATTTTATTATGAATTTTGTTTACTTCAAATATGCATGGGTCATGAGAAACATGAGTTTATGTAGGCGAATGTACATGTGAGGTAAAATGAAGTGTTATGAGGTCAGGTGAAGTGAAATGTTTTGAAGTCAGGTGAAGTGAAATGTGAGGTTAGGTGAAGTGAAATGTTTTGAAGTCAGGTGAAGTGAAATGTTGCGAGGTCAGGTGAAGTGAAACGTTTTGAAGTCAGGTGAAGTGAAATGTGAGGTCAGGTGAAGTGAAATGTTTTGAAGTCAGGTGAAGTGAAATGTGAGGTCAGGTGAAGTGAAATGTTTTGAAGTCAGGTGAAGTGAAATGTTGTGAGGTCAGGTGAAGTGAAATGTTTTGAAGTCAGGTGAAGTGAAATGTTGTGAGGTCAAGTGAGTGAAATGTTTTGAAGTCAGGTGAAGTGAAATGTTGTGAGGTCAGGTGAAGTGAAATGTTGTGAGGTCAGGTGAAGTGAAATGTTGTGAGGTCAGGTGAAGTGAAATGTTTTGAAGTCAGGTGAAGTGATATGAGGTCAGGTGAAGTGAAATGTGAGGTCAGGTGAAGTGAAATGTTTTGAAGTCAGGTGAAGTTGAATGTTGTGAGGCCAGGTAAAGTGAAATGTTGTGATGTCATTATAATTATTATTATTATAATCATGGGGGAGCGCTAAACCCGTAGGATTATGCAGCGCATGTGGGAGGATGGAAGGTATTCAGGCTCAATTCAGGGAACTGGAGCATAGATCCAGTTCCCTAGATCAAGAGCCCCTCACCAGCATCAAGGAACATCCCTTGAGAGGTTTTGTGATGTCAGGTGAAGTGAACTGTAGTGAGGTTACCTGATGACTATCTTTTCATTTCTTTTCCCTTCTAGATGGGTATCATACAACCTTTAGAGGGTATGTGTGTGTGTCTGGAGTCCTTCAAGCCTTTCCTGTAGTGTACCCTTATTTAAAGTTGAATGTCTCTTCCTTACAGGATCATTGCCATACTTATTGCCTTTCTTATTGTATTTACATGATCTTCATGCTCCCCAAATCTACAAGACTATTACAGATATTAGCAACTCTGTCTGTAACCTTTTAAGTTTCATAATCAAAACCTTGTCTTTTTTTCCCCTCTGCCTTCATTGCCTTTTTTGCACTTCCTGCCTTTTATTTCTCACTTCCAGGTTAGGAAGTTCCAATACTCCAAGTCTGTTCTGTTTTCTCCTTCCAAAAAACCTTGGTTCTCAGATTTGGGCTAGTGTTCTTTCTCTGGTTAAAATAAACATACAGCGGACCCCCGCCTTACGATATTATTTCATTCCAAAAGTCTGTTCGGGTGCCGTTACCAACCGAATTTGTTCCCATAAGGAATATTGTGAATTAGATTAGTCCGTTTCAGACCCCCAAAAATACACGTACAAAAGCACTTACAAAAATACACTTACATAATTGGTCATGTTGGGAGCTGATTGTAAGGCGGGGGTCCACTGTATAGCAAAAGAAAACGTTTTATTAATAACAAAAAGCCTCTTTTTGTTATGTGTCTTTGTAACCACGTGTCACCTCACAGCCATATTCCAGCTACTGTTCTCTGCTATTTCCAATCACTTTGTTTTCCCATTTGCTTCTATGATCTTGAATGTAGTTATTATGTCTGCTTGTCCAGTTAGCCAACAGGGATATTTTTAGTGTTCTCACTTTCTTTACAACTCGTTTTTTTTAGTTATGGGAACCATTTTGTAGCATTTTTCATATGTAGACAACACACTTCTGCTAGCAGCATATTTCAGTTTTTGCTAAATGTATGTTGGATTTTTTTTTTTTTAAGCATTTCCCCATGTACATATCTGAAGCTGTACAGTACATTGAAATGTTGCTAAATGGAGAATATTTGTGATTGCATTTACATAGAAATTTTATGAAAAATAGTGATGCATGAATGAGAAGTCAAGCAGTACAGTATTAGGTAGTTTTACTAGGGATTTGTACTTGGTTTTTACAGGTTATGTAAATCTGCCTCTTTACAGTAAAAAATGATGCCAGTAAAACTTTGGAGATCATTGGTGTTCGGAGAAGGGCTGAGAAAGAGAAAGTGTGCATCATCTGTAAACAGCTCTTCAGTCACCTAGTAAGTAAATTGCTTTCATTGTGCTCAGAATTATTACCCTGTTCAGGGGATTCCCACCTTACGAACATATGAACTTGCAAGCAAGGTCCATAAGAAATAATATTTAAAAAATATGCAGATAACCCGCACACACGAGAATGAAACTTACAGCGATGTTTTGGTCCGACTTGGACCATTAACTAGTCACACAGTGTGTGACTAGTTAATGGTCCAAGTCAAACGAAAACATCATCACAAGTTTCTTTCTCCTATGTATGGGTTATTTTGTGTATTGTTGAACTTATAGCATTGTGACCCAAAAGAGAAGAAACACTTTCATTGTCGCTGTCTATGGTGCCCGTGGCTTAGTGGCTAAAGCTCTCACTTCACACGGCGAGGGTCTGCGTGCAATTCCCAGTGCAGGTAGAAATATTGGTCGTGTTTCTTTACACCATTTGTCTATGTTCACCCATCAGTAAAATGGGTACCTAGGAGTTAGTCGACTGGTGTGGGTCATATCCTGGGACAAGGACCTAATTTGCTCGAAATGCCCTTCATAACAAGGGGCTTTCTATATACACTTACCATCCGACTTACGACCGAGTTCAGTTCCGAGAAACCGGTCATAAGTCGAAATGGTCGTAAGTCGAACTTTACTACTGAATATCAACAAAACATTTTTGTTTTATTTTGGTATTTCATGTTTTACTTTACTTTTTATGTTGTTAGTACTGTATTTTATACTGTAAGGTTTAGGATAAACACTGTGTACAACACAAATAGTTGTTTATTTCCCAGAAATTTGGCATAAAAAACACGGTTGTAAGTCGAGTGGTCGTAAGTCGAGTGGTCGTAAGTTGAACAGGTCGTAAGTCAAATGGTAGGTGTAGTAATATGTCATTAATGTCAGCTAGGACTGTATACCATGTTCATGTACTTGTAGTAAATAAAGATGACATTATTATTATTATTATTATTTATTTTTTTTTTTTTTCAATAAGTCAGCCATCTCCCACTGAGGCAGGGTGACCCAAAAAAGAAAGAAAATCCCCAAAAAGAAAATACTTTCATCATCATTCAACACTTTCACCTCACTCGTACATAATTACTGTCTTTGCAGAGGCACCCAGATACAACAGTTCAAAAACTTCAACATATCTCCACCCTTCCTTCAAGCTGTTACAGGCACAAAATTATGCTATTGTGTAGAGATTTATCAGAGTGAAATATTCTCTCTATATGAGGCTTGTTCTGCAGTGTATCTTTTCTTCATCATTTGGATCCATCCACATATACTGATTCCATTCATTATTGAAGGAGAGTAAACCAACAAAACAATGATTCATTATTTCTTTTTAATTAAGTTTAACTTAACTAATCTTTTTATTTTTGCATTGTAGGGAGATCTAGAGCAGCATGAGAACAGAATCCATGGTATACGCATCAAGTGTGACCTTTGCGATGACAGCTTTGTGTTCTCCAAGTCACTGCGTAACCACCATCTGCGGAAACATACTGGCAGTGCTGATTTCAAGTGCAAGGCAAGTTAGAATTATTCTTTCATAACTTTCACTCTTTCATTGTTTGCAAAATACTATTGTAAACTTAATCTCAGGAGTAATTTATACTGTGTACCTGTAACAGGTTGTTTGAGTAAGAATGACATCCATAAGTGTATGATTAGAAAGAGGAGCCCTGTCGCTTGATTGGTAGTGCACTCGGCTCACACACACTGAGTGTCTGTGGTTCAATCCCTGGTATGGGTGGGAACACTGGGTATGTTCCTGTCTCTGTTTACCTAGCGATAAGTAGGTACCTGGGTGTTAGGCAACTCATGTGGTTTCAGTTTCATCTCTAAAGTAATTACTTTTGCACCACTGTAAAGTCGAAATATCGTAAGTCAGACCATCGTAAGTCGAAGAGCACCTGTACTGTATTTCTGAATCACTTTCACTATTTTGGCTGAATGAGCAAAAGTTATGGCTGTTTGCCTTACATTTTTAGAGGAGGGAATGTAGGCAGTCTGCCATAATACACCTATCTGCATTTGCTAGTAGAATATCTTTCTCATTTGCCTTCAGATTGGCATTTTCTGTTGTAAAGTCTTCATTAATACAGTTGGTGTCATACTGTATAACTTGAAAAACAGCCTCATTTAGTATGTAAAATGAGTTATATTGAAAAAAAGACACAGATACAGTATAATGTGATCCTTTATTGACTAAATTTCACCCACACAGTGGGCTTTATCAAGTTAATAAAGGATTGCATTGTACTGCATTTGTGCCTATTTTTCTATTGTGTCATTATTTTATACCATTTATCTCTATCATATTTAATATGTGTTGAAGGGTTAGCTGACTCAGATTCATCATTGCTCTCTTCAGATGATAACTTTCGTCTTTGAAAACCCTTGAAGTCATCATTGTTGCACATTTCATAGTTTCTAATGATGTCCTTATGCCAAGAATCATACTTATTTTACCACCACTCAAATATTTGTGCCTCATCTATTTTGAAAGACACTGTGAACATGCAGATTCTTTCCTAGGCTGGTCTGGGTCATAAATAATTTGTTCTTTGGTCTAATGCACAAGCTCACACCTAATTTTAGTCAGCTATGAATTACTGTACTTGCATAATAAACAATATATCACACCAAGCTTAAGGATTAATAATCTTTTACTGTTGTCATTCACTAAAAGTTGCATATTTCTCTGTTACAGGACTGTGATAAAGTTTTCAAGTGCAGAAGTAACCTTTGGTCTCATCGTCTAACTCACCTGAGTCAAGAGATGCGTAGATTTCAGTGCCTCCATTGCTCTCAGCGATTTACTACTAAATCAAAATTAAATATTCATCTGCAGAGTCACACAGGTAATCAGCTATCCTGTACAACATTTCCATGTGACTTACAAAATCATAATAACACAATTGCAAACATCATGGAATGGGTGGGGCTTAATACTGTGTCCTATCACGTGCCTCAACCACTAAACACATCCAGGCACATGAGCCCCCGGCTCTTTCTCATCCTTGCTAACATTGAGGGAATGAAAGAGGCAGTGAGTGAAAAATGCAGTGAGCAAAGAAGGCAGCAGGTGACATGGCCTCCAGTTCAGGACAGTCCACCCTCCTGGGGTTCCAGGAGGGTGGACTGTCCCCCTTTGTCCTCCCCCTCAACTAGGGTTGGGACCTCCCTCCATAGTGTCGAGGATACCCACCCACCACTATGCTGCACCAACAATCCTCCTCTCCTCCCTTAGCGAGCCAACAGTGAACCTTCCTAAACAACATAAGTAATAAATCTACATTTTTTTACTAGTCTTTTCCAGAAAAATGTGAGACCTTCATACATGCATAAAATGAACCCTCACAAAATATGAATGCATTCGATAAAAAAGGAAGTCAGAAAAAATATGTGGAATTGGCAAAGTCTGAGAACGCATCCCAATCTATTACATGTTATAATAGGTTTGCATTATGCACCAATGTCCAGGAACACATCTACTGTATACAGCAAGGGACATGTGTACATCAGCATGTGTGTAATCTCTATTGTATATACTTTAAACAGTCATGGTGACATCACACGTACGTATAATATACTGTATAGAGCATACAACATGTGATAATAGCAAAAATATAAATAACTTCTGTTAAGATAAAACTAAATAATGTTAAAACATGAAAAATTGTCTACACAGTTTTACTGGTTACTTTTGTCATTCTTTTGCAGGGGAGAAAAAATTCCAGTGTGGAGAATGTCAGAAGGGCTTTGTCTCTCACGGCTTATTGATGCGCCATATGAAGAAACATGTTTCAGAGACGTGCAGCATTGTCTTGGGGTAACTACAGTATTATTATTATTATTATTATTATTGTTATTGTTATTTTTTATTTATTATCACACCGGCCGATTCCCACCAAGGCAGGGTGGCCCGAAAAAGAAAAACTTTCACCATCATTCACTCCATCACTGTCTTGCCAGAAGGGTGCTTTACACTACAGTTTTTAAACTGCAACATTAACACCCCTCCTTCAGAGTGCAGGCACTGTACTTATTATTATTATTATTACATGTACTATTACTTGTACTATTACTTCTACTACTACTTCTACTACTACTTCTACTTCTACATCTACTCCTACATCTACTTCTACTACTATTTTATGTAGCATCGTCTGAGGGGTACTAATTATTATACTTATTGATAATGAAGAAAAGAAACTTTGCAGGATAAGCTTTTATGTGGACAAAGTTTTACTCTTTGCAGAGCTTTATCAAGTGCAAGTGAAATGTCCTGCGACCCCTCCAAAAAAAAGATAAATGTTGATATCTTTTCTTCAGTGTCCACAGTACACCATCTGCATCCAGTCATTGGGAAGTGCTATGTTCACTAATATCTTCTAAAATAACAATTTTCTCTATAAACAAATTAGTTTATAAAAACGTAATGTAGATAAGATAAATAAGATTTTGTTCAGATTTTTAACCCCAGAGGGTTAGCCACTCAGGATAACCCAAGAAAGGCAGTGCATCATCAAGGGACCTTCTGTCTTATTTCCATTGGGTTCCTCAAGCTTGTCCCCCAGGATGCAACCCATGCTAGTTGACTAACACCAAGGTACCTACAGCCCAATGTTTCCACTTTTGCTGGAGATCGAACCTGGACCCTCAGTGTATGAAGCGAGAGCATTGCCTACCAGGCCGTGGGCCACTGTATGTGCTTCATTGATATAACGATTTTGTATGTAATTTATTTGATTATTATTATTATTATTATTAATATTATTATTATTATTATCAGGTTTGATTCAAGGAAGAAGAGTCAGGAGGAAAAGTCTAATTTCTTGGATCAAGAGCCTGTTGTGAGCATCAAACATCCTCCCATGGATGTACATAATATAAAAAACTAAATAATACAGTGGAACCTCGGCACTCGAGCTTAATTCATTCCAGAAGGCTGTTCAAGTGCTGATCTGTCCAACTACTGAACAAATTTTTCCCAACCAATGTTCTTTCTGGTTGGCTGTTATCACTAACCCTCTTACGCTCCATAGTGACTTATGTAAACAAATAATATAAAAAAAAATGTGAGGAAGCACAAAATAGTTTACAGCAAAGTTCTCTGAGGTCTTGTTTGTTTGGTCAAGTGCCAAGCAAACGGTCGACTACCGAGCGATTTGTTTACCGAACAAAGTGTTTGAATATCGAATTGTTCGAGTACGGAGCTGTTCAATTACCAAGGTTCCACTGTATTATAATTTTATTACAGTGGTACCTTGACTTATGAGCCTAATTTGTTCGTGACCGAGCTCATAACTCAATTTGCTCATATATCAAATCAGTTTTCCTCATTGAAATTAACTGAAATGCCATTAATCTGTTCCAGCAGAATTCCTGGCTCTCAGGAGGCCAGAGAAAATACTTCAATATAACGCTAATATCAGCTCTACAGCTTATTTATCTATCACAATTGATCTAATGTGACATAATAAACACTATAAATAACATAGAAACATGATATATACTCGAGAATGAATAAAATATGTCATTATGTGACGAGTGGTGGTGGCCTCTCTCGAGGTAAGAATAATTATTGCTCTGCCCATATCTTCCTATTCTTGCCCTTCTGAGGTCTTATAAGAGAAAACAAAATGTTTGTGAGGCTAACTGCATAAATCACCAGTTTCATAAGGAAAACACTGAAACAAAAGCAAATTTCTCATGTTTTTCTATGATTTCCTGCTTTAATTCAATGGACATCATCCTCTTCTTCTTCTCAGCACTCTCCTTTGCACTTACTTTCTTAGAACCCATGGTTAGATAAAAGAAATTTGGCAGAATAACTGCACAAAATGCTGGGATGCTGGGCAAATGTTGTGGCTTTCGATGCACCAACTAGTGGTGGCATATCTGAAGCTCACTCATAACTCGGATTTTGGCTCGCTACTCAAAGCAAAAAATCGACCAAGCGATGGCTCGTAACACAGAAAACTTGTATTTTGGGGCACTCGTAAATCAAGGTACCACTGTATATGTACATATATATATTCACATAGTATATAAATTTGTTAAATATATATTGATCATATAGTGTTTCAATTTAATTGTATTAATACGTATACAGTTACCAATTTTACTTTAATGATTGGTCTTAATATTAATGCATTGAACATTAATTTTTTCCAAGAAGATCAAAGTTTTGATGAGGTTTAACACTTGAAGAAATATGTAAAAACTGATAATAATAATTTTGAAAGAATTAAAAAATATTATGAGAAGTGTAATTTTGTTTGCTTTTTCCAAACCAAGATAAAACTAATCTACATTTAATATTTTTTTAAAAGCCAACTGGATTTTTTTAATGTTGGTAGAATTACCGACAATATGTAAAGTAAAAGGACACAAGTGCAACTAATGTGACATTTTATTGTGGCAACATTTCGCTCTCCAGGAGCTTTGTCAACATTCACTGGCATTTATATTGGTGTGTAAAGTTCCACTTCTATCTTGACTCAACATTGCAATCCTAATTTTTTTTAATCTGGGAAAGCACCATACCCATAGGGGTTATATAGTTCCTGGGGAATGGGAGGCAGTCAGGGTCAAGCTAAGGAAGAAAAGGAGTACATACTGCATTCTCTGGTGTATAAGGCGCACCAACATATAAGAAAATGTTTCTTATTTATTTTTATTATCACACTGGCCGATTCCCACCAAGGCAGGGTGGCCCGAAAAAGAAAAACTTTCACCATCATTCACTCCATCACTGTCTTGCCAGAAGGGTGCTTTACACTACAGTTTTTAAACTGCAACATTAACACCCCTCCTTCAGAGTGCAGGCACTGTACTTCCCATCTCCAGGACTCAAGTCCGGCCTGCCGGTTTCCCTGAATCCCTTCATAAATGTTACTTTGCTCACACTCCAACAGCACGTCAAGTATTAAAAACCATTTGTCTCCATTCACTCCTATCAAACACGCTCACGCATGCCTGCTGGAAGTCCAAGCCCCTCGCACACAAAACTCCTTTACCCCCTCCCTCCAACCTTTCCTAGGCCGACCCCTACCCCGCCTTCCTTCCACTACAGACTGATACACTCTTGAAGTCATTCTGTTTCGTTCCATTCTCTCTACATGTCCGAACCACCTCAACAACCCTTCCTCAGCCCTCTGGACAACAGTTTTGGTAATCCCGCACCTCCTCCTAACTTCCAAACTACGAATTCTCTGCATTATATTCACACCACACATTGCCCTCAGACATGACATCTCCACTGCCTCCAGCCTTCTCCTCGCTGCAACATTCATCACCCACGCTTCACACCCATATAAGAGCGTTGGTAAAACTATACTCTCATACATTCCCTCTTTGCCTCCAAGGACAAAGTTCTTTGTCTCCACAGACTCCTAAGTGCACCACTCACTCTTTTTCCCTCATCAATTCTATGATTCACTCATCTTTCATAGACCCATCCGCTGACACGTCCACTCCCAAATATCTGAATACATTCACCTCCTCCATACTCTCTCCCTCCAATCTGATATCCAATCTTTCATCACCTAATCTTTTTGTTATCCTCATAACCTTACTCTTTCCTGTATTCACCTTTAATTTTCTTCTTTTGCACACCCTACCAAATTCATCCACCAATCTCTGCAACTTCTCTTCAGAATCTCCCAAGAGCACAGTGTCATCAGCAAAGAGCAGCTGTGACAACTCCCACTTTGTGTGTGATTCTTTATCTTTTAACTCCACGCCTCTTGCCAAGACCCTCGCATTTACTTCTCTTACAACCCCATCTATAAATATATTAAACAACCACGGTGACATCACACATCCTTGTCTAAGGCCTACTTTTACTGGGAAAAAATTACCCTCTTTCCTACATACTCTAACTTGAGCCTCACTATCCTCATAAAAACTCTTCACTGCTTTCAGTAACCTACCTCCTACACCATACACTTGCAACATCTGCCACATTGCCCCCCCTATCCACCCTGTCATACGCCTTTTCCAAATCCATAAATGCCACAAAGACCTCTTTAGCCTTATCTAAATACTGTTCACTTATATGTTTCACTGTAAACACCCGGTCCACACACCCCCTACCTTTCCTAAAGCCTCCTTGTTCATCTGCTATCCTATTCTCCGTCTTACTCTTAATTCTTTCAATTATAACTCTACCATACACTTTACCAGGTATACTCAACATACTTATCCCTGTATAATTTTTGCACTCTCTTTTATCCCCTTTGCCTTTATACAAAGGAACTATGCATGCTCTCTGCCAATCCCTAGGTACCTTACCCTCTTCCATACATTTATTAAATAATTGCACCAACCACTCCAAAACTATATCCCCACCTGCTTTTAACATTTCTATCTTTATCCCATCAATCCCGGCTGCCTTACCCTCTTTCATTTTACCTACTGCCTCACGAACTTCCCCCACACTCACAACTGGCTCTTCCTCACTCCTACAAGATGTTATTCCTCCTTGCCCTATACACGAAATCACAGCTTCCCTATCTTCATCAGCATTTAACAATTCCTCGAAATATTCCCTCCATCTTCCCAATACCTCTAACTCTCCATTTAATAACTCTCCTCTCCTATTTTTAACTGACAAATCTTGTTAATCTCACTCCAAAACTTTTTCTTATTTTCAACAAAATTTGTTGATAACATCTCACCCACTCTCTCATTTGCTCTCTTTTTACATTGCTTCACCACTCTCTTAACCTCTCTCTTTTTCTCCATATACTGTTCCCTCCCTGCATCACTTCTACTTTGTAAAAACTTCTCATATGCTAACTTTTTTCTCCCTTACTACTCTCTTTACATCATCATTCCACCAATCCTCCTCTTCCCTCCTGCACCCACTTTCCTGTAACCACAAACTTCTGCTGAACACTCTAACACTACATTTTTAAACCTACCCCATACCTCTTCGACCCCATTGCCTATGCTCTCATTAGCCCATCTATCCTCCAATAGCTGTTTATATCTTACCCTAACTGCCTCCTCTTTTAGTTTATAAACCTTCACCTCTCTCTTCCCTGATGCTTCTATTCTCCTTGTATCCCATCTACCTTTTACTCTCAGTGTAGCTACAACTAGAAAGTGATCTGATATATCTGGTGCCCCTCTATAAACATGTACATCCTGAAGTCTACTCAACAGTCTTTTATCTACCAATACATAATCCAACAAACTGCTGTCATTTCGCCCTACATCATATCTTGTATACTTATTTATCCTCTTTTTCTTAAAATATGTATTACCTATAACTAAACCCTTTCTATACAAAGTTCAATCAAAGGGCTCCCATTATCATTTACACCTGGCACCCCAAACTTACCTACCACACCTCTCTAAAAGTTTCTCCTACTTTAGCATTCAGGGCCCCTACCACAATTACTCTCTCACTTGGTTCAAAGGCTCCTATACATTCACTTAACATCTCCAAATCTCTCTCTCTCCTCTGCATTCGTCTCTTCTCCAGGTGCATACGCGCTTATTATGACCCACTTTCTCGCATCCAACCTTTACTTTAATCCACATAATTCTTGAATTTTACACATTCATATTCTCTTTTCTCCTTCCATAACTGTTCATTTAACATTACTGCTACCCCTTCCTTTGCTCTAACTCTCTCAGATACTCCAGATTTAATCCCATTTATTTCCCCCACTGAAACTCTCCTACCCCCTTCAGCTTTGTTTCGCTTAGGGCCAGGACATCCAACTTCTTTTCATTCATAACATCAGCAATCACTGTTTCTTGTCATCCGCACTACATCCACGCACATTTAAGCATCCCAGTTTTATAAAGTTTTTCTTCTTCTCTTTTTTAGTAAATGTCTACAGGAGAAGGGGTTATAGCCCATTGCTCCAGGCATTTTAGTCGCCTCATATGACACGCATGGCTTACGGAGGAAAGATTCTTTTCCACTTCCCATGGACAATAGAAGAAATAAAGAAAAACAAGAGCTATTTAGAAAAAGGAGAAAAACCTAGATGTATGTATATATATATGCATGTGCGTGTCTGTGAAGTGTGACCAAAGTGTAAGTAGGAGTAGCAAGATATCCCTGTTATCTAGCGTGTTTATGAGACAGAAAAAGAAACCAGCAATCCTACCATCATGCAAAACAGTTACAGGTTTCTGTTTCACAGTCATCTGGCAGGACGGTAGTACTTCCCTGGGTGGTTGCTGTCTACCAACCTACTACCTATGTTTCTAAGCAGTTGTAATGTAACTTAGTAAACAACAACTAAAACATAACCCAAAGCTTACCCGTGACCCTGACCTTGAATATATAAGGTGCAGGAATGATTTTCCAAGAATTTTTGTGCTGAAAAAACGTGCCTTATATGCCGAAAAATACGGTAAGTCCAGTTTTTTAGGTCACAGGCACCTCACTGCTATCAATGAGGGAGATGCATTCTTTAAAAACAATATTAATATTATAATAATGGGAAAGTGGTAAACCCACAGGGGACACAGAGCTCAGAGAATGGGAGATAATCAACTTGAATTAAAAGGGAAGGTAATTCCAATTATATAAATTAAGATGTTAACAACAGCATCAAAGCACCTGCCCCTTTTATGCCAAAGCATTCATGATGTAAATCTAGTTGTACTCCTATTAACTCTTTTGGGGCCTAGTTCCTAGGCCTCTTTTACATTCATAGGTTTTCATTGGTCAAACCTCCTCAATGATGTTTCTTGATACTGGTGAGGGGCCTTGATCTAGAAAATTGTATCTGTTTGTAAGTTCCCATGAATGAGCCGAATACCTTTCATCCCCCCTTCCCCCCACAGGTTAGCTTTAAACCTCTTACAGTTAGTGCTATCCCATGAACATTAATATTCCATCAGTCGAATTATGGAGAATATAACCTGGACATGACTCACGAAATCCGTAATGACACGATTGCAAACAAACTTACCATGGGCGGGGTTAGAAACCCGCATCATAGAGCCTGGAGATTTGTAGACTCTCTGATCGTGGGTTTCTAACCCCATACCGTGGTATGGTTTGTTTTAACACTGGACATCTGAGTAAGTTTTTCAGGTATAACACAAATACAGTTACATTAAATTTCTTACTAGCATCAATTTGTTGTAACAATCCTGGATAACCCAACAGTTAATGATGCTTCTGGAATAGCAGTAGATCTAGTGTATTTGATGCTTTGTCCTTTCTTTTAGGTCAGGTCACCCTGCCTCATAGGTACCCGCTTCCAAGTTAAAAACAAACGTACACACC